TCGATGGAGGGCCTGGCAGCAGAGGAGAGCTCCTTTTTTACGTGGGGCGCCCCTCCTCCTGCTGCGAGCTCCAAGCCTCAACCCCGAAACCACTGTAGGGCATGACTTTGCAGACGTCGCATGGCATTTTCCTCCACATTCCCTCGGCAAGCGCTTCGCTAAGAAAACGATTCTGGGCAAAAGCAGTAATATGCAAAGTGCTGAGCTGCACCATCGTTTAAGAACTGCGGCGGCAGAAACGCACAACTTTCTGGGCCTAGGCACATGCAAGACAAAGCACTGATGGTGTCGTTGTTATATGTGATTGTGATTGTAATGTTTACGACGACTGTCTGTACGGCTAGCACCACTGTTCCTACTGTCCATCTCATCATTAGGTTTGCTTCGCTAAGCGGCTGTTGTTAGTACGAATGCCAATACTAACATCAGACTGAGTGTGCTGGACGATGTGTTTTCTCACGACTGACTGATGGCATCTGGACGTGCAGTATTGACCCCTGTCCCCTTTGCCTGGATTCGTGTAGCCGCCTCCTCACGCTCACGGGACGCATCGTCGACACATGGCCGAGACTCCGATGCGAAGCTTTGCGTGTCCTGCGTGAAGTATGGCATGTCCTACGTCTCCGCTCCATGCAGTGAGTAACTAAGGCTTCAGTCACTGTACTCTTTAGGTCGTCGCACTTTTTCAACCTGCTCCTCCAGATTGTCACAGTGCGCTGTGCGCATGCCGTTGCCGTTGGACGGCGGGTGGGAGTGGCGGGATGCTTTGAGCCCGCATCGTACATAAAACTTCAGCCTTAATCGCTCAAGGCTTCAGTCACTGTACTCTTTAGGTCGTCGCACTTTTTCAACCTGCTCCTCCAGATTGTCACAGTGCGCTGTGCGCATGCCGTTGCCTCCACCCATCTTACCCATCTAACCCGGGCTCGAAGCCGCTCCAACGGTAAGCAAAGAGAACCACGTAGTGGGAGGAAAACCATATTGCATATAACTCTCTGCCTGCTCCAGCATGAGAGGGAAAAGGCGCATGACCGCCAGCACCTTGTCCGAGACGTGATCCTGAAGCTTTGACAGAAAAAGAGCAGACGAAACCTCCTGAATATATATCTCCATGATTTTGGCATTCAGCCACCTTCCTCTTCTTCTGACAAATTCCCCATTCTCAGTCACATGAAGGAGCCAGGTGGCACCACCCGCCCTCATCGACCCAAGGTCGAGAGGACGGATGTTGCGGTCTTTGAAGCTGTTGAGGTCAAAGGCATCAATAAGCTTGGCAAACCTTTGGCGAAAAGTGCCCGGGGCATACAGCCAAAGCTTTTGATGCCGATGACGCTTCGCGAAAGCCAACTCGACCACTCTCATCAGCTGAGGCTGGTCAACTCGCAGAGCTTGGTGCCTAGCAGCAGTGTGCCGAGTCTTCGGTTCCCGAACAGCCAAGAGAATATAGTCGATGGTGCCTTGAACGTCCCCTGGAAGCACGAGGTCCCGCCTGTATGCCGCAAAAATCTCGCCAATCCTAGCCAAACCTCCCCAAGCCAAGGCCAACAATCCTGCCACATCAAGCCAGCCCCAAGCCAGGGCAACAGTTATCAGTGATAAAAGGACCTGCCATGGCATGGCTTGATGATGTACGTGAGGTTCGAGGCGCTGCCATTGAAAAGCAACGTCCCAAGCAGGCTGCAGGAGTCGCCGTATCTTTGGATGCTTCCCTGACAAAGCGTTCACAGTCTCGGAATAATGGTTGTAAGGTCGGCCCCCTTCGTAAAGGGCCCTTCCATAGCGAGCCATCAGGGCATTAACCGCGTCAATGTCGTCATGACAGCAGCTTTCGAAATGATCCTCGGGGATGGCTTGGTCACGTAGCCACTTCAGAAAACCATTCCAAAGAGTGTCACGCAGGCTCTGGGTCGACTTCTCAACAGGCCTGCCTTCAGGAAGAGGCCGAACAGACCTGAACTCGCGTCTTGCGAGGTCTCCAGGGTTTCTAGGCTCCAGTTCACCATGGCGGCAAGGGGCACCCCAAACAGCCCTGAACCTGAAGACAACAAGCAACCCCAGAGCAACCCTGAAGGACAAAGGAAGGGACGGGCCTTCACCGGGAAATCCAAGAGAGGCGTCAAAGTCCATGGCAGGAGGGCGATACAGCAAGGCCGGGACGCTAGAGTAGCGATCACAGGCTTTCTTGGAAGTCCACTGGCAAAGGCGGAGAACGAGCCGCAACCAATTCGAAGCCCATCGACGGCACCTTGGCAGAGCGGCTAAGTCCATACCACACAAAGACTCATGAAGAGAGAGGCCTGGGACAGGAGGAGGAACCTCGGTGCCACGAGAAGGCCCATCAGCCGGCATCCAGCGAGTAGGGCAGAAAGGCAGGGCCCCATATAGCCCGAAAGCAACACAGATGGCGCCGATTTTTCTCAACTCTGAGGTCAAGGCAGACGAAGGAGATCTGCCTTTGCTTATGGCACAGCGCGAGACGTTGGAGTCGATCAAGGAGGAAAAACGAGAGGGAATGGGGCCCCTCGCTTTGTGAAAACACAGCCTCCTGAAAGCTCCCGTTTCATGGCAATTTATATGTTTCTCTCTACGCCAGTGCCAAGCAGCTACTTTCTTCCAAGGAAGGGAGAGAGCAACGTCATTGACCAGGGCCGATTCCAGGCCAACTACCTCGATCTCGAGGTCGGCTCTCCGAGACAGCAGTCGGGAAAGACCACGAGAGAACACAGAGGCCAGGGATTCGGCAAAAGGAGGCGGCACTGGATGAGGGCGGTTCTCAGCAGAATTCCCAGGATGATCATGGCCTGGAGGAAGCCTGAGCAGAGCCAGAACAGGGAGGCCAAAGGAGAGGAGTGTGTAGGAGCGATCATCTGACGACCCTTTCACCTTTGGCACCTTGAGCTGTGTAACCTCAGGCTTGGCGGCCTGAGCAATCCAGGATGGGAGTGCAGTAGCTATGGTCCCGCCGGGTTGTGTCAGCATGCATGGCAGTCCGAAGGCCTTGGCAGCCCTGAAAAGAGCAAGGCCCCGCAACACTACTTGATTCTCATGGAGGACCTTGGGACAGGATGTTGACCCAAAAGGCTCTCGGAAAGTGCGCTTGGGCGGCAGCGCGGCCGCGGAGAAAGTAGAGCCGGGAAGGGACAAAAGCAGAGAGTCCAGCTTCCCGGCTTCCAGCAGATGAAGGAGCCACCGAAAGAAAACGTCATCGCACAGGTCATAGTGCGGAGAGAAAAATGGATCCAGGAGGGGGCCGACCAACCAGCCTCGGGAACTCATGCAGTCAGTGAGGTACTTGCTGGTGCCGCCGACCTGGAGAAAATGAAAACGGAAACCCACTGGCCGAGAGCAGGATACAGAGGAGGGCCCGGACCCAGAAGCCGGAATGTCAGAAAGAAGCCCATCCCCTGACACGTTTTCAAGACCTTCCTCGAAGGAAGGATCGGCCTTGTGAAGGATCGCCTGAGCTCGGGAGAGGAGCTTCGTCGAGGCCCCCTTTCTGTCGGCGCTTCTCCAAAGAAGGGAAGAAAGGCGCTCAGAGACAGATGCCTCTACGATTGCTGCAGCACTGTCGCTGCTGTCAGTGGCATACAATTTTGTGTCCCAAGGGGCAGCAAGGTCAGCCACGGCAAGAGGTGCCAACGCAGCACACATAACCAGCTCATCGGCAACGTCCCGGGGTAGAGGGATGACCTTGGGACGGGCTGGGTCCATGAGACCGGCCGGGAATAGTCGGAAGGACCTCGACAGGACCGACATCAAGGGCCGCCGGTAGAGCAGAACAGAGACCCAACCTCCCAAAAGACAGGCGTGCAGGCTATCAGTGGTTTTGGGGAGGGCCGCCAAAGAAAGAGTGACAGAAGCAAGCGACAGTCTCTTTGCACAAGGAGCGCTGGCAGTGATAAGTCCAAGAGCACGCGTCCTTTTGGTCGAATCAAGCTCAGCACCGGCGACCTTGGCAAAATCAGCAGCCTTGATGTCCTTCTCGGGAGAACCCAAAAGGGCCTGCGAGCTATAGGCATCCTGTGCGACCTTGAGGCATCGGGAAGACTGGGCGTCTTCAGGAGGCGAGGAGGCTGGCTCAACCGAAACGGCAAAGTAATCGTCAATCACTAGGCCCTCTATCAAAGACTGGTCCGGGAAAATCTCATTGGCTCGCAACTCGTGAGACTCTCGGAGCAAACCTGCACGCTTCAGCAAGCAGCGGTGGGAAGCAGTGGCTATCTCGACTCCCAAATGGTCACCTTGGCACACGGCTTGAAAACAAGCTATGACCTCGCGGGGCTTATCACCGACCAGGAGAGGCACACGACGACGCGAAGATGGAAGGGAGAGCGATCCCCTTTCGCCTTCCCGCCTCTGGTGAAGCAGGGCTAGCGCAGCACATCCAGCAAGCTCCTCCTCACAAATCGGAGGGAAGAGAGAATTGTGGGTAGCTTTCCTTGGCCGTACTTTCAACTGGTGGTAGAAATCTTTGCGATCGGTCACGCTTACTCGAAGGGTAGATGCCTTCGGGTTAGCCGCCAACCCCAAGATCACCGGCCCACATGGGAGTCCCACACTAGGACCTTGGAGCGCTCGTTCTCGGTAGTTTCGGGATCGACGGTCGCCAATCTGGCGATCACAGCTCCAGTTTTTATAACAGTTGAACATTCTCACCGCATCCAGCGGGGAGACCTGATCATCGTAACTGTCCTTCAGGAACAACAAACCGTTGCGGTCCCACTTGCGGGCCAGAGCAGCAACCTCGAGAGGGTCCTCTCGGGAGAGCGAGGGCACATCGGAGGCAGGGGGTTCGCCCCCGTAGAGCAGCACATCAGGCTCCAAAAGGGCAATCGCGAGATCGGGGTCGCCCTCAAGGTAGGGAATGGGGTCCCAGTTCCCTAAACCAGAAAGCTTTAAGCGCTCAGCATTCAAAGCGGAGTAGGGACGGAGGGGGCTGCTTCCCAAAAGTGAGGTCTTAGAGGGCACGCCTTCGTAAGCTCCAGAAGGGGCAGGCGGCTGGCTTTGCAAAGGAACCTCTTGATCTTCGGTGGCGGGATCGGCCTGAGCAGCTCCATGAAAAAGAGGACCATAGGGATCAGCCCCAGGCCCAATCCAAGTTAGGAGCGCCGAAAGCTCATTGAGGCCAGCGAGAAGAGTGGCGGAACGGCGCCCAGCAGAACTCACTGCAAATGGTTCTACGGCACCGCAGGCACGGCAGAGGGAGGCAATGTAGCGCAATGCTTTTGCCTGGCTCCTGTTCGGTTGCCGACGCAACGCTTGCAAAGGAGGAGGGCTGAGCCCGCAAAACAGGAAGTTGCAAGCCATCACGGCGACGTGAGCAACCCTGCGAACAGCTAGGCGTAACCGAACTCTGGAAGACTTTGCAGGCGGGATGTGCTGGAAGCACCCGGGAAAAGGCACCGGCAACGGGAACAATGCCTGAGCAGGACCTGAGGGCAGGTCAAGGGAGATATGCAGAGTCGAAGCTAGAAAAGCCCCAAAAGCACCCCGGGTGGCAACGATCCTCGCAGCAAGGCTAAGACCATAGGCCCGGAAACCCAACATTTTAGGAGGGCTCGAAGGTGAGGGCGAAGGAGCATTGGCAGACAAAAGGCCAGGCTCATCATGCACAGCCTGGGGTTTTCCTGGAGAGCACGCGGCCGAAGAAGACTCGCCAGTTCGCACAACGGCTGAATTCGAGCATGGTGCGAGCCCTAAAGGGGCGCAGCCGGCAGAAGAGAAACCCCTCAAAGCCTCCGTTCCAGGAGGTATGGTACACGTGCCGTGGCCGGGCACTGGTTTATAAGCACTGGTCCTGCTGAACCACAGACGACGACAAGCAGACCTAGGAGCATCTAGCGTGTGTGGCTGCACTTCGGCATCCTCACCACCAGAAGGAGAAGCGACATACCTAGAGGCATCCTTAAAAGGGGACCCAGGCAGCAGCTTTGCACAAGGAAGCTCGGCGGCGGTCACAAAACTACGGCTTATCCAAAACCGAAAAGCACGCCGCGGTCCTGCAGGAAGCTTGTCTTGCTGATCGCTGGCAGCAGCGACAGGGCAACCGAAAGACCCCCTAAACCCTAAGGGGAAGGGACTAGGGAACCTAAGATACCGAGGCACAGGCTTTGCACCAGCAAGCCCGGAGGCTCGAAGCATGCAGCGGCTCACCCACTGTCGGCGCACATGCGGAGGGACGGCCCTCTCACAAGCAGGCGGTGGAGGCCTTGCGAAAGGGAGACCTAAGGGACCACTAAACCCACTAGGGTGGGACCTAGGGAACCTAAGGGCAACCGGCATCCGTCGCACCCTAAGGAAACCGAGAGCAGCAGGACGGCAGCGGCTTACCCACTGGCGTCGGCACAACGGGGGGTCGGCCCCCTTGCACGCGGAGAGAGGTTGAGGCATTGGCAAGGGAATCTTAGGGAACCTCCTAAACCCAAAGGGGATGGGCCTAGGAACCCCAAGGAACCCAAACAGGGGCTTTGCACAGGAAGCTGGGGCGGAGGACAGCCACGGGCGTCCGCTGACACAGAGAAAGGGAAACCAGAACGCCCTCAGTTGCCGGAGGAGTCCTTTGCAGCTTTGGGAAAACGAGGCCGGCGGGGCTTTGCTTTTGCAGCGGCGTCCGTCTCTCCAGAAGGCTGCTTGGAGCGCGGTGCTCCTACAGCCTCGCTCCTGCGACTTTGGATGAGATCGATCTCTTTGATGTAACTGAGGGTAGTGGTAGCCCAAGCTTGGGGAGTCAAGCCTCCAAAAGCCCGAAGACGAGGATTCTGGCTCTGAGGTCTGTGCTGGAACAGCTGGTGAGGAGGATCCTCCTGGAGGCTGAGCAGATAGCCAATGTCCCAGGCACCATTGTCCTGAGCGGCTTGTTCTACCGCTATCAAGCTGAGTGCCACCAGCTCTTCGGCCCCCACATAGTCGCCAGTAGCCATTGTGTCTGCTATATTGGATAGCAGCCAGAACACAATGCCCAACGACCTTTGGTTCCCGTAACCCCCGAAGCGCTCGGCATACGAGGTGAACAGGGGCGTCCGGCTCATGAGGTCTTCTCGTGTCGCCGGGGCTTGCTCGGAAGGGGCCAACCTGCGAAGTGCCTGTTGGCTGACCTGCAAGAAGAAGCCCCCACTTCGGGAGGCCAACTGCTCCTGAAGTCGCTCTCGCTTGGAAGCACCCCGGGTCCCCAGCAGCGCTCCGGACGTCCCACCGAGGGCCGCGTCGCCCGCATCTCCTTGTGCCACAAGGTGTGACACCAACGCCCCTAAGGCCTGGCTCTGCTTCAGCATGGCATCTGCAAAAGGGCTGGGCACTGTAGGAACAAGAGGCTCTCCCGTCTCGGGATCTTGAGCAAGCTCTTCTGGCCCTGCCTCGGGTGCTGCTGGAGGCGGTGGCGGACGTAGCACGGGTGCACGGACTTTCGGAGGGGGACCCACTAAACCTCTTAGGGGGGCTAAGGGGTTCCCTGTGCTGGGTCCAGGGCCTATAGGAAAACTGGCACGGTGCGCTGGGGCGGCCTCGGCCGGAGCAGGCGAAGGAGCGGCCACGGAAGCCTTCGCCTCTAAAGCCTTCTGTCTGGCATTGATATCCTGAACCTGCTGCGCCAAAGCCGGCAAAAGGGCCACCATGGTTTCGAGCTGCTCGGCAAGCTGGCTGGTGGTTGGCTTCTTGGCCTTGGCTGCATTCCTCCGCTTCGGGGCAGGGGGATTTGCAGGAGCCGGCTCGGCTTCCTCTGCGGAATAGAAAGCCATTCTTTCCCCCGTGAGAGTGCCTACCCAATCCCGGGCAGTAGCCAAGGCATCCGAAAAGACCAGCATCAAGTGAGGAGACCCGGCAAGGAAAGGAGTGACCTCGGAGGGAGAGGTGACTGGATCGTACTTGGACAAATGCTGCACAATGTCCGACGAAAAATCCACAACCAGCACTGCAGTAGTGTCCCCAGTAGGCACTAAAGTCCCTTCCTCGTCCTCTTCCGAGAGCCCCGTGGTAATGGTGCAGGAGGGCCCTATCAGCAGATCCTGGTTTCCGGCATGTCCTGCTTCCAGGGCAGCATCCTCTAGAGCACCTACGGGTACAGCTGCCAGTACACCCCCTGTCCGACGCAGCAGAGGAACGAAGACCATCGGGCGGGACAGAAGGGTAGGTAGCTCCATCACCAAACAGCCAGCATCGTTCGGAGACTCTAAGAACTCGACAACTAGTTCCATTCTGAGCTGTCTGGGAAGAGGGCCCCGGAGGCCCTGACGTACACTCGGCTCTCCCCTTCAGTAGGGAACCCGTGACACACGGTGTCGCTTCTTTCCAAGGCCCCCACGTGAAGCTTGAACCTGCCAAAGGAAGTGAAGTAGCGAACCGTGAGGTCGCCTCGACACCGCAGGCAAACGTACACCTTGCTGCGCACAGAAAGAGGAGGAGTGGAATCCACCACGTCCTGCTCGCCTCGCAACACCGCACCTGCCTGAAGGCCTGAATTCCACGCTCGGGTGGCTCGCGGGAGCCTGTCTTGCACACGAAGGGAAGACACGAGGAAGAGGGCCTCACCAGGCAAGGGATCCCCAATGCGAGGGACGCTAGGAACTGCAGCAAGTGAAGGAGGGGCCCCACGGAGAGGGACAGAGGCAGTGACAGCAGATGGAGAAGGGGCAGAAGCGCTCGCCGCAGCAGCGTCGGGATAATCTCCCACAAGCTCCCACTCAGGGCCAGACTCCGCCTCCAGCTCGGAGAGGGCGTCGCGAAGAGCAGAAACAGCAGATCGGATGGTATCAGTGAGGGACCTCCGGCTCATGCAAGTAGCCTCTCAGGCGGAGCGCGGCAGGCCGAGGAGGGTTTGCCCGAGGTGAGGGCTCAGGGACAAAGGCAGCCTGGGCTACCGGAGTAAACAGAACACCTCTGAAGAAGACCAAGGCAAGGAGAAATCCAAAGGAGGCCCCCGACCCGAAGGACAAAATCAAGAGGGTCAAAGATCCGGAGCAATGTGCCGGGCAGCCCAGTCCCCACCAGTTCAAAGAAGAACCCTGAACTAAGAAACCGAAAACTCGGGCCACATCCATGCTTTGAGCCCGCATCGTACATAAAACTTCAGCCTTAATCGCTCAGCCAAGTCCAGACGGCATGTACAGCACCAGAGTTGGGACTGACCTCAGGAAGCCTTCGCAGCGTCGTTGCGGTCCTCTTCCTCGGTCCTCACCGAATCCGGCGAGACCTGGACAGACTCGTACCAGCGCTTGCTGGGAGTTGATGTGAAGTTCCACTGCAGATCTGAATAGTCTTCAGAATCACTCCAGCCCCTGTGACAACAGTCAGCCACGCACACACACACACACACACACACATATTAATAATCCTTCCTCACCTTGACCAGACCCAAGTCGTTCGCCAAGTCATCCGGCTCTTCCCCCAGCCTGTCCTCTCGTACCTCCGCCCAGCCCACCCAACCTCTCTGCCTCTACCGTGCGAAGCCCAAGGACCTCATCCAGTTCCAGTCCCGGCAAATACTCCGCTTCCAGCTGCACGGCCGCGCTGGCCTGGCAGCTCAAAAGCGCGGACGAGGACGAGTCTGGGTCTAGGGACTTCCAGGGGCCTTCCAAGCAGGCTGAGCCCTGACCCAGTTCGCGCAGCGTTTCCACTCACAAGCTGTTGCTTTTGCGGCAGGCTGAGAAAGCCTAGACACTCCACATTAGCTCACATTATGCCAAGCGAATTACGACCATGCAAATGTCATTCGGTCACCTGTGTGTCTGCAGCATCTGAGACACTGCAAACGAAGTCAAGCTCCACAACTTTGGGATCCTCACACTCTGCCCTTTGGCTGGCAGTCAGAGAGGTGAGCGAGTCAGGATCCTCCTCGTGAGCAAGTGCTAAGAGATTTCACACGCCAACGAAACCGGCCACCACGCCCTGTTGAGCGCTTGCAAGGAAGCTCAGTTCCCGGATATCCATTGCGCCCATGCTTGTACCCAGCGGCTCCAACGACGGCCTGCTTCGGTGTCGGCTTCTCTGATGCCTCCAAATTGACCATCTCTCCACCATCCTTCCCGAGATCATGGGCCGTGTCAGCGACCTCGGCCTCTTCAGGCACCTGGAGATTGTTCAGAAGCTGCACCCATCTAGCACAGCACTCTTAGACAGCTTTCCAAATGTCTCAACACCTGCGCGAAGTGAAACGAAGGGCCTTGCAACCCTGTCACCACTTTCTGCTTCCCAAACCCCGAGACCCCACAACCGTTGCCCTCGACTGACGAGCAGCAACCTGCAACTAGGTCAATAAGCACGGACACTACAGGCAAACTGTAGTAGAGAGAGAGAGAAAGAAAGAGCTAGAAAGACAAACATCTGGAGAGATAGATACACACATACCCACAACACATAGTCACGCATAAAAATGTGCATTCCCATCTGAGATTCACGTGTGAATACATCTCTCTCTCTCTCTCTCTCTCTCTCGCTCTCCCCCCTGCATGCATGCATGCATGCACGGACGGAGACGGACGAAGGGAGGGAGGGAGGGAGGGATGGATGTGTCTGTGCAGGCACGTGTGCATGCGTGTATGTACACGCATACATAAATATCTGTGTACCTAGTACATACATGCATGCATGCATACTGACATTCATTCATGAACTCATACGAGCATACATGAATACGTGAATCCGTACATACACAAACGCATGCATACATACTTTACATTACGTTATGTTGCATTACATTCCAATACAGTACAGTACATTGCAATGCATTGAACTGCATTGCATTGCATTGCCTCGGATCGCACTCCATTCCATTACATTGCACTGCACACATGCACTTAAGCATGCTTCCATACGTGCACAGCCTGATGCATACGGGCACGGGTACTTGCAGGCATACATATGTACATACACATGTATATAAACCGAGAACGATCTCAGGTCCAGCCGAGCATCATTGCGGATCGTGACCACGGAGCCGCGCGCCTCCAAAAAAACTCCCGGGCGCCGGCGAAGGGAACTTGTCACTGCATCGGAGCATTCGGAAGGACACTCGCTTTTCGATCCTTCCCGGCACCCACGTTCTTTGTCAAGCTGATGCAGGGTGTGGGCGACTTGGTAACGCTCAGCGGCTTCAACGCCTTCCGGGTCGCCCTTCTCCCAGCAATGTGTTCCAGCTTCATCATGGAGGGTGTCGGCGACCTCTTCAGGTACATTGATTTGGAGACAGTCCACACGCACCCTTCATCTCTGAATGTGTCTCTCAGAATCATGGTCGAAAGACGAACACAGGACCGGTCAACCGAGCAGTGCTGGAGTGACGCCAGAGGCATTCTGCTCCGTCATCACTCTCTGTAGCCCTCAAATGAACGAGTCGGAAACCTTCAAACTAGTTCAACAAACAGTCGTCAGAAAGAAGAAAGGTAAGTGTGTGTGTGTGTGCATGTATGTCTGTCTGTGTGTCCGTGTGTCCGTCTATCCGTATATGCATGTATGCATGTATGTCTGTGTGTCTGTGTGTCTGCATTTGCGTACGTATGTATACATACATATGTATGTACATACATACCTAAATCATGCATGCATTCATGCATGCATGCGTACACACAGAGCGGGAGCGGCAGCGTGAGCGGCAGCGTGAGCGGGAGCAGGGCTCGGAGTGGAGTGGGAGTGGGAGTGGAGTGGGAGTGGGAGCGGGAGTGGCAGTGTGGGGGTCAGAGTCGGGGTAGGAGTGGGAGTAGGAGTAGAGATGTGTCCTTGAATCAGGAGGCCCTAAACGCTAAACTTTCCCTACATCGTCGAAGACTTCTCAATAGAAAGGGCTTAACTTTGCCTCGGCGTTCTGCTCTCCAAGAATGGAGGAGAGGATTAAAGTTGCACACTCTTGCTATTGAGCTTTCAGCGTTCCGCGGGCGGGTTGTGCATCTGGTAATTTCGGTCAGGATGGCCACCGCGAGGAAAGTGAGAAACCTTGAAGACACTGACATCCGAAGACCCTCAACCGAGGAAATGGCTACACGGCTACATGAGCTCGAAGTGTGAGCATGAGAGACACCGAGAGACCGAGACACCGAGAGACCAAGATGCAAACAGGGACAGAGCGAAACAGTGAGAAACCCAGAGGCAGATCTTGAACTTTCCGGATTCCCGAAAACAGGCCTCACCCGTGTGCTGACCCCCTCCAGGCACGAAGGGGGCCGCATCGGGGTTCAGGGGCCGGGCCTCCAGCTCGAGTGTTGTTTTAAGGCTTTGGGCTTAGGGTTTCGGGCTCTTTGAAATTCTTCTTTGCATTAAGACATCAAGGGTGTATTTAAGGATTCACATAAAGTGCCCCTGTAATCCGTATCAAAGTGTTGCGGTTGGAATTGCTTTCCACGTCTGGGACCTACCAGGGTACAAGGTTCACTAGTACCTCTAATTGGTCAAAGGAGGAGCGAACATGACAATATCGAAATCTTTAAAGTTATCTGCCTACATATCTACCTATCGACCTATTCTACCTATCTTCCCATCCACCTATCTATACATACATACACGCGTACGAAAAAGAAAACGATCTAAAGGCCAGCCGGGAAACCTTGGGGATTGTGCCCACAGAACTGATGTCCTCCACATGCCCCAAGCACTGCCGAAGGGAACTTGGGACTCCATCGGCGCCTTCGGAAGAATGCTCGCTTTTCGACTTTTCCTGGCGCTCACGAAGCTTTTCAAGCTCATGGAGGGTGTCGGCGACTTGGTAATACCCAGCGGCTCCAACGATAGCTTGCTTCATGTTAAGCGACTCCGTGAGGTTCTGCTCTGCCCTTTCAAGGTCGCCCTTCTGCGCACAAACCTTTCCCAGGTCATGCAGGGTGTCGGCGACCTCTTCACAAACAGACAAACACACACACACACACCGACATGTAGACACATAGACGCAGCGACATATAGACTTGTAGACGTACAGACACGTAGACTTATAGACGCATAAACCCATAGACACACACACACAAACACATAGACATTACACACAGACATATAGACCCATAGACACTTATATAGGCACAAAGACAAATAGACATATAAACACATAGACATAAAAGACATAGACATGTAGACACATAGACATACATGCATATGTGTGTGTACATATTCACAGCTATACATATACACATACATACACACACATATATACATACATCATACATACAAACATACATGCATACATACATACATGTATATATAGACACATAGACATAGAATATAGACACAAAGGCAGAGATACATAGATACATGGATACATATACATATACATATATATATATATATATATATGTATATATATATATATGTATGTGTATATGTACAAACATGTAAACACATAAAAAATAACTCAATAAATAAATAAATAAATGAATAAGTCTGTGTTTGTGTATATATATATAACACACACATGTGAATATATGCCTATGTGTATGTGGCCACATATAGATAGCCAGCAGGCCAGATAGCTAGATAGCTAGATAGATGAAAGATAGATAGATACATAGACAGATAAGTAGGTAGATACATAGCCAGATAAAGATGCCTGTGGGTAGATAGGTAGGTGGTTAGACATACAGTATACCTACATACATATTTTCGTTCAGTCATACAATGACAAGAAGTCAAGCCGAGTATCGTTGAGGAATGCGACCTTGGAACCCCGCTGCTCCACATCCTGGAAAGAACGGGGCTGGCACTTTCGGACAGCATCGCAAACCTTGGCAGACCGTTGCCTACTCTAGGACAGATCGAAACAAAGGAATCAAACTACACAAGTAGCTGAGTCAGTAGTCCTTCGCATCGGCGTCTTCAGTGTCGTCCTTTTCCTTGACGGCTATGCCAAGCTTGTGAAGCATCATGGCGACCTCTTTGTGCTCACCATCTCCGTAGAGTGCCCGCTTCTTGCTGAGGGATTCCGTCAGGCTCAGCTGAGCCGCTTCCAAATCCTCTCTTTGCAAGAAGACTTTGCCGAGCGAGGTGTGAATGTCGGCGACCAGGTATCTGCAAGCTTCACTACGACATTTTTGCGGAGGTATTCTCCGCATCATGCTCAGGGACTCTGTCAAGCTAGTCTCTGCAGATTCCAGTTTGCCCAGCTGCCAGAAAACTTTTCCAAGCGAGTGGAGCGTTGTGGCGACTTCCTCGTCAATCTCTCTCACGGCCCGCCTCATCCCCAGGCACTCGACTAAGTGATCCTCTGCCGCTTTCATTTTGCCCATGTTCCTGCGCACTGTGCCAAGCTCATGGAGAGTCTTGGCGACTTGCTCATGCGCACCGTCTCCATACAAAGCCCGCTTCATGCTGAGGGCCTCCGCAAGATTCTGTTCCGCAGCGTCCAAGTCACCCTCCCACTGAAATGCGGTGCCCAGCTCATGTAGGGCGGCTGCGACCTCATCATGCGAAGCGTCTCCATGAATGCTTCGCATCATGTCGAGAGACTCTTTCCAGTTCTTCTCCGCAGCCTTCGGACTGCCAGTCTCGTACGAAACTGATGCAACGAACCTGAGGGTTCGGGCAATGTCTTCGTGCGCCACATCCCCATACAGGCTCCGCCTCATGTTCAGACATGCTTTCAAGTGCTTTTCCGCCTCTGGCAGGTTGCCCCGTCTCTGACAAACCACACCAAGACATTCAAGAGTGAAGGCGACGTCAGGGCACTTGCTGCTTCCGGACATGCTCAAGGACTCTCTGAGGTGTTCCTCGGCCGATTCCAGGTCGCCATTCTCCCCACAAACTTTTCCCAGATAATGGAGGGTGTCGGCGACCTCTTCAGGTACATTGACATGGAGACTGCCCTACAAGCACCCTCCATTTCTGGGTGGGTGGCTCTCTCGGGGAGTGACCCTCTCAGAAGCAGATATAGATGCACATATATAATACAGATATAGATATAGGTACAGATATAAGTATCGATACAGATAAAGATGCAGATATACATGCTCTATTCATATATGTTCACATGCAGATAGCCAGACAAGCAAGAAGCTAGATAACGGATAGCTAGATAGATGATGGATAGACAAACCGCTAGATATGTACATAGATAGGCAGACAGATAGACATGTAGATTGATAGGCAGATAGACAGACATATGATAAACATACACACATAATTACAAAAATTGCCTACATCCATCCATCCATCCATCCATGAATACAGACAGACAGGCAGGCAGGCAGGCAGACTGGCAGACAGACAGGCAGACAGACAGACATACGGACGTGCATCCATGCATTCATCCATTCATAAATTGACTAATTATTTCGTTCGTTAGTTCATCCATCAATCCATCCATCAATCCATCCGTCCATCCATCCATCCACGCATCCATCCACGCATGCATGGACGCATTCAATCATTCAGTCATTCGTTCATTTGCTCATTCTTTCATTCTCTCATTCATGCTTACTATCACAGAAGTCAAGCCGAGTATCGTTGAGGAATGCAACCTTGGAACCCCGCTGCTCCACATCCTGGAAAGAACGGGGCTGGCACTTTCGGACAGCATCGCAAACCTTGGCAGACCGTTGCCTACTCTAGGACAGATCGAAACAAAAGAATCAAACTACACAAGTAGCTGAGTCAGTAGTCCTTCGCATCGGCGTCTTCAGTGTCGTCCTTTTCCTTGACGGCTATGCCAAGCTTGTGAAGCATCATGGCGACCTCTTTGTGCTCACCATCTCCGTAGAGTGCCCGCTTCTTGCTGAGGGATTCCGTCAGGCTCAGCTGAGCCGCTTCCAAATCCTCTCTTTGCAAGAAGACTTTGCCGAGCGAGGTGTGAATGTCGGCGACCAGGTATCTGCAAGCTTCACTACGACATTTTTGCGGAGGTATTCTCCGCATCATGCTCAGGGACTCTGTCAAGCTAGTCTCTGCAGATTCCAGTTTGCCCAGCTGCCAGAAAACTTTTCCAAGCGAGTGGAGCGTTGTGGCGACTTCCTCGTCAATCTCTCTCACGGCCCGCCTCATCCCCAGGCACTCGACTAAGTGATCCTCTGCCGCTTTCATTTTGCCCATGTTCCTGCGCACTGTGCCAAGCTCATGGAGAGTCTTGGCGACTTGCTCATGCGCACCGTCTCCATACAAAGCCCGCTTCATGCTGAGGGCCTCCGCAAGATTCTGTTCCGCAGCGTCCAAGTCACCCTCCCACTGAAATGCGGTGCCCAGCTCATGTAGGGCGGCTGCGACCTCATCATGCGAAGCGTCTCCATGAATGCTTCGCATCATGTCGAGAGACTCTTTCCAGTTCTTCTCCGCAGCCTTCGGACTGCCAATCTCGTACGAAACTGATGCAACGAACCTGAGGGTTCGGGCAATGTCTTCGTGCGCCACATCCCCATACAGGCTCCGCCTCATGTTCAGACATGCTTTCAAGTGCTTTTCCGCCTCTGGCAGGTTGCCCCTTCTCTGACAAACCACACCAAGACATTCAAGAGTGAAGGCGACGTCGGGGCACTTGCTGCTTCCGGACATCCTCAAGGACCCTCTGAGGTTCGCTTCTGCCGCTTTGAACTTGTGTAGTTGCTTATAGACTGCGCCAAGCAAACGGAGCGTGTCGTTGACTCGCGATTCATCACGCTTGCCAGGGATGGCCAGCCACATGCTCCGCGCTTCCGCCAAATACTTTTGTGCAGCTAACCAGTCTCTTTTTTGCCAGAAGAGTACACCAAGTGAGTGAAGAGTGATGGCGACGTGTCTGTTGGCACCTCCATAGACGGATCGATTCATGCTGAGGGCTTCCAAAAAGCTCTTCTCTGCGGCTTCCATGTCGCCCTTCAAGAAATAAGCTCCGCCAAGCTCTTTCAAGGCAATTGCCTTGACATATATCGAATCCTCTGATTGCTGTAGATACTTTTCGACTGCCCTCGCAGCTGTCTGGTAGCGCTTTGAAGCACGACACTGCAAGCTAAAACCAAGTGCCTTTTGAGCTTCTACAGTTCTATTGTCCCACCAAGACTCACGAAATAGCTGAGATTTGTCAGTTTTGTCTTTCCACACTTGAACTGGCTGTGCGCTGCGACATCGGAAGGCACACTGTTCCAAAGTACGTGCTTTGCACGGTAGACAGATATCCCGGTCTTCAAGCACGACTTCAAGCCATTCCAGGCAACCCAAGTTATCGGTATCGTCCTCAACCGAGTTGGCCACTGACTGTGTGCGTTCTCCTGCAATGCTTTGCTGAACCGCGTCGCATTCAAGGTCGAACCGCACACTCTTCCTTGGCTCCTGTTTCGGCACATAGCGCAGATTTCGTACGTCAGAGTCAAGAGGCTTCTGTTTTGCTGCGCGAAACCCGAAAAAGCCGGACCCGCGGATCCCTCCCTCCCTTTCAAAACTCCTTGCACTTCTCGGAGGGGTCATCATTGGAGCTGCTGGAGGCTTCCTGCATCGCTCAAAGGCTGGCTCCGTAGACAAAGCTACGCTCACACCACGGCAATATTGGGCCTCGCAGTCGTCAGCCGCCTTGGTTGTAGGGTGCTCCTTGTCTTTGCTTGCACACAGCACCTGAGCGAAAAACTCTCGGTTCACGGAAGCCTGACGTGCCACATGTGCTCGGCTAGACTGGTTGCGGCTGGGCAGCACGTTCCTGCGAGTCCTCACTGGCTCGGGCATCAGATGCACCAGGGAGGTCTGGGATGTCCTGCACCGCTCACAGGCTCTGAAGCATCGGCCACCTTTCCTACAACACAAAACAGCCATGATTCCTCCGAGAATTTGGGCATGGCTCACTTGACACAGCCGCAAGTCCTACCACCAATTCCCTTGCCTTACCTAGCAATGCACTAGCATCTCCATCGGCTGGCTCTTCTCGAATGGAAGGAGTACCTGCTGTAGACATGCGCTGTGGACATGAAATGATCGCTTTGGAGCCAGATCCTGAGAAGCACGGCGGAAAACCTATGATTGAGACTGGCATCTCTGAAATGCATGAACCGCGTGCTGCACCCCCCAATTCTGAATGCCACTGCCATTTCGGGAATGTCTCTGGCTGCTGCTGGTACTGCTGCCGCCACAGCTGTTGTTGCTGCTGCTAGTGCTGCGACTACTACCGGTTATTGTAGCTAACCGCCAGTTCTGCTACAGCTACTCTTGCTGATACACTGTCACACTGCCACTATTGCCATCGCTGTCGCTACTGCTTCTTCTCCCGCCGCCACCACCGCCACCAGCATGGCCGTTACCACAACCCCCATGACGACATCCGAAAAAACACTGCTGCGGCTGCGACGACAAGCACTATGATGCCTGCTCATCACCCTCAACAGCATCATTTGCATTGTGATTATCACCACCGTTGTCACAAGGTATCATCCTGAAAAATATCTTTCTCTCATCGACCATCATGACAAGAACTGCCCTGACCAGTCTCTGGGAGCAGAAAACATGAGCTCATCGAGGATGCATTGCACCACAACTTTACAGCCCTTCCCGTCTCCACAGGATTGGCCTCGGGGAGAGCCAAAGGCTGTGCAGACGCAGAAGTCGCAAGGATCGACTGCCTGAAGCGGTTCAATGGCTCATGTGGACACCAAGAGGTGCCTGCAGCTAGCCTATTGCCTGTCAGGGCCTGTGCATATGCAACCCACCTCGGAGCCTCTCTAGAAACCTTTTTCTTAATTCCTCACCCGAATCCTTGAGAAGGCCGACCAAAATTGATGCGACTGCACTGCAGTGGCTTCTAGGAAACAGGAAGAGGCCTGACCATGAGAGTGATCTCACCATCAGCATTATCACACAGTCATCACCACCATCATGAGCATCATACTCTTCTCCATCCCATCATTCGTACGTGTCCAAAGTTTACTTGCTGCTATCATTCTAGGCATATTAGATCATGTACGCAGACAACCTCACTTGTACCGGGACCAGAACAAGGGCCACCGCGGCAGCAGAAGAAGCAATCATCGTCAAGAATCACGCGGTTACCGCCGCCTGTTCAGGCTTCTTCTCCAATCTTCCTGTAGAAGTTCACCTCTTGGGAATTGGGCTTCCTGCCATTCAGCGCTTTGTCACTGTTCCCCCCGTTGGCCCTCCACTCCGCATTTTGGAGTCTAGGCCTGGCCGCAGTGTCACGACTGCCCGTCTCCTTCTTTAGAGACATGGTGACATGTCTTCTGTATTCTATACCGTCTATACCCCTCTTAGAACCACAATGCAAATACTATCTTTAATATTCTCTTGGGGGAGACTATAGTATTAGCGCAGCGGCACTGCTATGCTGCTGGTTACTAGTCACTGGTGCCAGCTGCTGCTGCAACATGACCATGACTGCCTCACACTGCTGCGATTCCCGCGCTTGCTGACCAAGCGGCCGCCCTTCATCTTGCTGGTGGCGCGGAGGCTCACCTCATTCAACTTGTTTCCCCTTCTTGAGAACCGACCTTTCGGCAAATCCAACGAAGCCAGGGCCGTGGCTGATGTCATCCCTGCGCGACCGCACGAGCTTGATTTTGAGACTGACGTGCTAGGAACATCATACTCAATTCTGGATACTGAGGCAGAGGTCAAGATGCTAGTACAACCAAGCTCCGAAACATGCGCTTCAAATCCTCCCAGATGGACCAACACACTTGGTTGCTGCCAGGGCCGCACGACGAAAAGTTTCGGTAAGTACATGGGGGATCTACACCGAGGGTTTTGCCCATTGTAAGTGCGACACCCCTTCTTGTCTCCCCCGACGCGTCACACGTAGCCATCGCACTACGCATTCCTGCATCCGGCCCCCTAACATGAAACATGTTCGACAGAAACCTTGCGCTTTGCATTTGCCTGATGGCAGCAGCCCGACTCTGCAGATCACTCCTTTACCGCGAAGGTGACATATGACTTCACTGAAGCCTCCATTCAGCCGGTCCCAGGCTGGATGATCAACATTGCAGAGGCCGCCTTCGGTTTCTGCTACCTCCCCGCCCGTTTTCATCTGGCCCGCATCTTGACTCAGAAAGACATCATAACTGTCTTTCTCAAATCATAGCATGTCACTCTGTCATAGCCTTGGGTGCATGCCATCTCTCCACACATGGCCTCATCCGGCCAACGATTATACACACGTCATTGCCTTTGAGAGCGTCCTTGCCCCTTCGTTGTCTTGCTACTGCACAGACCTGAAGCAGCCATGCCGATCCTTCTACAGCAACAACAACTCCGGCTTTGCTTGATCTGATCCTTCAGGTCTCAGAGGTAGTTGCTGAGCTGAACTGGAAAGCTCTCAAACTGCTGCTCTTGTCTTCAACTGTAAAAACATACACATGTTGGGGTCCATGCGGACACTAGGTACTGGAGTGCACCGACCGATATGATATGTCGGCTCTGCCTGAGGCTGTCCACCAGCAGCACCTCCAACTGTCGCAGACCTGAGACAAATCTGCTCCGGTTACACATTGTGCATAGCAGCAGGATTCAATCGTTGCTGTCATCGTCCTCCTCCTTCTCATCGTCCTCATCCTCGTCCTCTTCCTCGCCCTCCTCCATCTCATCGTCCTCATCCTCGTCCTCGTCCTCCTCACTCCTCCTTGGTGAGCAGTGCTGGTGGTGGTGGTGGCGGCGGTGGCGGTGGCGGTGGCGGTGGTGGTGGTTGTGGTGGTGGTGCTGCTGCTGCCGGTGGTGGTGGTGGCGGCGGCGGTGGTGGTGGCAGTGGTGGCGGTGGTGGCGGTGGTGGCGGTGGTGGCGGTGGTGGCGGTGGTGGCGGTGGCGGTGGCGGCGGTGGTGGCGGTGGTGGCGGGCGATGGTGGTGGCGATGGTGGTGGTGGTGGTGGTGGTGGTGGTGGTGGTGGTGGTGGTGGTGGTGGTGGTGGTGGTGGTGGTGGTGGTGGTGGTGGTGGTGGGTGGTGGTGGTGGTGGTGGTGGTGGTGGTGGTGGTGGTGGTGGTGGTGGTGGTGGTGGTGGTGGTGGTGGTGGTGGTGGTGGTGGTGGTGGTGGTGGTGGTTGGTGTTGGTGGTGGTGGTGGTGGTGGTGGTGGTGGTGGTGGTGGTGGTGGTGGTGGTGGTGGTGGTGGTGGTGGTGGTGGTGGTGGTGGTGGTGGTGGTGGTGGTGGTGGTGGTGGTGGTGGTGGTGGTGGTGGTGGTGGTGGTGGTGGTGGTGGTGGTGGTGGTGGTGGTGGTGGTGGTGGTGGTGGTGGTGGTGGTGGTGGTGGTGGTGGTGGTGGTGGTGGTGGTGGCGGGGGCGGTGGTGGTCATGGTGGTGGCGATGGTGGTGGTGGTGGTGGTCTTGGTGGCGGTGGCGGTGGTGGTGGTAAGTGGTGGTGGTGACTGGCACTGCTGCTGCTGCCGCTGCTGCTGCTGTCGGCGATGGTGCGAAAACTACGATACTGCTGATACCGCTACCGACTACGACTACCACGACGACTGCTACTGTTGTTGCTGCTGCTTCTACCACTGCTACTACTACGACTGTTTATTCTTCGTCCAGCGCGGACATTCCATCCCGATCACTCCAGGCTTTGCCTACAAATCGTGGGTGCATGCCTAACCAGACACCACAGGAGTGGAAACCCAATCACGTGAACTTGGTCGTTCTGAAACCACAACAACCTGAATATTGATGCAACTGCGAGACCACCAAGCCCTCTTGCCCTCAACTTTTGAGCGACTAGGTTCATGCGGCTTCGCTGCTAGCATCCTCGGCCAGGGGCGGCCTTGCACGCAAGGATCGCAGCTGAGCCAGGACCTTCCCGAAATGGTCGATGTCTTCTTGCATTGAAGCGCATCAAAACAGCAGCGGCATCGGCGTCACCAGCACCACCACCATCTCCATCACCACACTCAGGAACCGTTGGCCTTCTCTGCGGCTGCATTTGCAGTCTGACGAGCTATCGAGGCGAAATGGATTTTGCATGTAAGGCTTCGGTGGCTTAGGAGCGGGATGCTCAAAATGACAGTGATCTCTGCCAGTATCCTCTTCTCTTGCGGTGAACATCCTTAATGTTGCTGCTTTTGTCAGCATTACTGCTGTCAGCCTCCTCCAGTTCTGCGGTGTCAACAGACTTGCCACCATCGTAACCCTCATCTTCGCGACATCTGCATTGTCGAGGTCGTCGTCGTTGTCGTCGCTGCCGTCGTCGTTATTACCGATATCATCATCGCAACATTATCCTAGACAACGCCAAGTCTACCATCGGATCACTAGCAGCGCTTGCAAGAGCACCTTCCCTAGTAGTCGTAGTTGTAATTGTAGTAGTAGTCACAGTCTTCGCAGGAGTACAAGTAGTCGTCGTAAGTAGCAGAAGTACAGTAAGAGGAGTAGTAGTATTCGTCGTCGAGTGGTAGTGGTAGTGGCAGTGGCAGCAGCAGTAGTAGAAGTAGCAGCAGCAGTAGCAGCAGTAGCAGTAGCAGTACTAGGTGGTCGGCGGTAGTAGTCGTCGTGATGGCAGTCGTAGTGACGGCAGTTTCAATAGCACAACCTGAATCAGTCGCATCAGCACTGCACTGTAAGCATGATTACACGATCAATGGAATCTGCGTCACAACGCGAACCTTCTCCTCTTCCCGCCGAACCTCCTGCACCGAAGAAGCTGATGTCGACAGAGCAGCATTACATGCATCGACTGAGTGTCCAAGCTCTGACCCGACAGACCTGTCAAAGAGCTCCCAAATTCAGCCAGGCCCCGGACCCCGCATTCCAACCTTCCCCTGTCCTTCTGAAGCTCCGCCTTCAGCCTCTGCTTCTCTGCGAGACTCTGCTCAGAGGGCTCCTGCGCCACGCGCCCGCAAAGCGCAAACACTTCAAGATGCTTCAGAATGGGAAAAAAGCATCCAAAGGTCAAGTTAGAAAGGAAGTCTTCGAACTCTTCGATTCGCGATCTATATCCAAAGGTCATCTCCAAGTCCAGCAAGAGAATACTCACGCTTCTCAAGACGACAACGGGTCGCGGTGGCGGCGCTTCTGCGAGGTTTGCTTCCAATATCAAAAGGAGCGCTGCAGAGTAGAACGGGTCCGCGGAACTCTGGATCCGAATCTTCTTTCGAGGACTTGGGGCTTAACACGTTGGGCACGAGGATCCTCGTCGTGAAAAGCTTTGACTTTGGAACAGCGTCGAATTTGAACACTTGAGTGACAGCGTTTACAGAGCTTCAAAGCGAGCACAGACCTTGGAACGAAAGCGCCAGATCCGAAACCCTGAGAAGCCCTGAAACCCAAGCCCCAAACCAGGCGCATCCGTGCCTGCGCAGCTGGCAGGAGGTCCAAGGCTGCCGATGGCGCGGGGAAAGCCTTAGAGTTCGCTTTAGACATGCCGTCGCATATCGTTGCCTCCACCAGTGAAGACGATGATCATGATGATGACGATGAAGATGATAATTACGACGGCAAGGACGACGAGGAAGGACGGTTTACCAGCGTGCCTGTCGTTACTGCTAGCATGCTTGCCTGCATGTGACCGGGATCTCACGTTCCTATCGACCCTGCACGGATCAGAAAGGGCAGATCCGGGAAGGTCTAGGATTTTGCGACTCTTGTGGGTTGAGATTTAGGTTTCGTGGTGCCGGCGTGCTAGATGTCCATCATGGCACTGAATTCCATGCGTAAAGACAGCCATGAAAACCTGAAGGGGCAGACCTGGACAAAGCTGCCCTGAACGACGTCCAAAAAACTGGAACAGTCCAATGGAAGTGTTGCACTTTCAGCCCGGTCGCGGAGAGCTCGGTCCACCTGCGACAGACCGAAATTCAACACTCGGTTTGGTCCAGTATGCTACACCGCTGGATGATTACGACTACGCTAGGATACGTTCCCTTGCTTGCCTGCAGATTCGTAGTGGAGCTTCTGTCGACAAGAGTGCTTCTTTTTGCTGTAGGTTTGAATATGGAGCGGCTCGGCAACAGGGTCGTCCAGTCCTCCGTTCTTGGGCCCGCTGCCTACACCACACAGCTACGTTATGGCGCCTCCGCCGCTCCAGGCCGGCCAAGAAAGCTTCTATGCCTTCGGCAAAAGCTGCAGGCCGGCAGCAGTCCAAGACCTCTCGAAGCGGCGGAGCAGCCCTTTGGAGGGCGCAGCGGGCTCAGTGCACACAGCAGTGGCATGGTCGCGCTGCTGGGCACCGGTATGTTCTGAAAATGCAGAGACTCAGCCAGACCTCGAAACCCCCAAGCCGACTGGGACCCCCTTCCCAACCCTACCCGGCCCATCCCTCGACCCTCCCAGATGCCAAGGCTGCCAAGGCACAAGGCTGCAAAGATCTCGCTGCTGTTCATTCGACAAATCTGCCGCAGGCTGTTCATGTCAATGCTACGCCGCTCTTTGCACCAGCCCCTGACGACGTGCTCGCTGCAAAAGGGTGTGGGCAGTAAAGCCTCGATCGAGACCCCAGGACGTTCCCGACATCGGATGCACTCTCAGCCACGCTCGACCCCTACAGAATCTCAAAAGAGCACCTCAACAAGAGGAGTCACCTCCAAAGACAAAGGCCACTCCTCCGAGACAAGACCTCGCCTCGCGCCCAGGTGACGAGGCCCGAGCCGAGCAAAAGCAAGGCCTCCGCAGAAAGGGAGAGAAGAAGATGAAGAGCGCGCTCTCTTTTTTTGCTTGGGCTGAGCCGCCGAGCGCGACAAGTTCAAAGAGAGCGTGGAAGCCCCTTATGGCCCCTTGAGAGATCCCCCGTCAGAAAGGCGCTTGGCTTACGGCTTGCCGGGCCGGGGGGCGGCTTTCGGCTCTCGCAGACGTCCTTCGAAGGCTCGGGGAAGCAATGGCAACAAAGACAGACCTAAAGGCCCCAAAGGCCCCAAAGGCCCTAAACCCACCCGCCTCTGCCGTCGCCTGCACCTGCATCGTAAGAGTCGCACAGCCATCGCAACCATCGGGCGCCACCTGGCAGAACAAGGGCCGCCACTAAACAGATAAGCGACAAGCAAGTAGACTCAGTACTCTTCGTCCGCCTCATGATTCAAATTCTTATGCCGTGGCCTCTACTTAGTACCACTACTGAGATGACTGCCCCTGTTTCTCTGCGGGCGGGGGGGTCATGGACAATTGCAGTAATTGTTAACACTGCAACTGCCATTACTGCTGCCACTGAGCACTGAATCACTACACTTCCAGATTCTTATAGATCCTCCAGATCAGAAACCCGAAGCCTCCTCGCTTGGCGGCCGCAATGGCAATGGCGCAGCGACCGTGGCTGAGGCCTAGGTGAACCCTGATCACTCGAGTGTTGCTGCATGAGGGAAATTCGTTTGGATCAAGGAGAATCTAAGGTTTTTCTGACAGAGGACTCTTGGGTTCTGACCTGAAGTCCGGATTTCCTGGAAGTTTTGGGATTCGGGACCTCGAGTTGCACTGCAGCTTTGGTTTGGCATTCGGGGATAAGGCATTTCGGTCCCACGCCTCATGTCGGACCTGGACCACGTCAGCCAAAACAAGGCTCTGTGAGTGCCGATTTTGTCTTGAGACATCTGTAGAAGGCATACCTACAGTCCAACTACCGACCCTTAAATCCAGAGTCGCCCGCGATCTGGAGCATACTGTACCTGGGCCCTTGAGAGGAGCTTGGAAAGCGATTCTGGCGGCAAAAAACTGTCACATAATCCGCTGAAGACCTTCGGTCGTGCGTCGATTTGGGATTGATGCCGGCACCGGTCTCGGCCCATGCAAACGCAGGGAATGCGCGTGCACATGCATGCCCGGAGCTCTTAATCTCTACGTGTCTATCCATCTATCTGTATGCCGATCTAACCATCCATCTACCTAACTAAAATAAGTTAGCGATCTTTTCATTCAGCTGTACGACCATACCATAAGTTTATTCGTCTATTCATTTATGTGTTTTTTTGCTTGCTTGTTCGTTCGTCTATCGATTATGTTTATGGGGAGGGAGCAAGACAGGGGAGAGAGAGAGAGAGAGACACAGAGACCCAGAGAGGCACAGAGAGACACAGGCAGACGCAGGGAGACAGAGACAGACGGAGCGATTGCACGCGTGCAGAGAGACAGCGAGAAACGGAGAGAGTCAGAGAGAGAGCGAGAGAACAACAGAGCCAGAGCGATTGCGAGAGAGGATGAGTGCGACAGCGCCACAGACAGCGAGAGAGAGAGAGAGACAGAAAAAAAAAGAGAAAGAGATGACCACTCAACCTTACTTTCCACAGCCGAGGTCCACACGGCCTGCCGAGTCGTCCAGGGGATGGCTTCCAAAGACCCACATAGGGATTCCAGGCTCTGCTCCTCAGCGCAGAATTCCCCATACTTTACAGCGTCTCATAGCTGGTCCTAGGCGTGAGTGGGTGATAGCAGGTGCTGACACGCTGCTCCTGAGGAGCAGCCAATTGCTTTCACGTGTTTGCTGCAATCGCAAAGGACGTCTACTCGGGAACATCCGGAATGTTCGAACCCAAGCCGTAAAAATGACACGGACCGGCAAGCCTCGCTAAGGCCTTAGCCTTCCAAGGAGTTTGCTACGTTGACGCTGGCTGAAACTGGCTGCCATCAGCTCGGGGCTAAAACTTGCTCGGAAGGAGTTTGGACCTCGAGGAGTGCAGGGAAAAGAACTGGAATTTTTGAAACTTGCTCTAAGACTCGACAAGCAACCCATTGCCCAGGAGGCCGGCAGCTTCGGAGAACCAACTCCTCAGGGCTCGGTCTCACCAGAAAAGAAGCAGACTGCACGTGATCTCCGGTTTGACTTGAACCCAATCCTCTGAAGCTGCACACTGCACAAGCCTCACAACTGGCTTTACAGCTGGAAGCCTTGCGGAAAAGTACTTTCGGCTCTTAGCTTTCAGGGGCTCTTGCTCCCGTGCCTTTCTCAGTTTCCACAACATCGCAAGCTCCAATGCTGCCTGTCCACGCGACAACCCAAAACCTCGAAACAGGCTAAACAATTCTGTCGGACGGAATCATAATCAACTAAGAAATCCATCCATAAGTCCATCCATATGTAAGTGTCCTCCAAGTAACCACCCACAATGCCCGAATGCCCGAAACCTGGGCACCCCAAACATGTGTAGGCCGCGGACCGCAAGGTCCCTTCGCCGGAGAACGCTGAGACCTCAGCCACGTGGCTTGGGTTTCAGGCTCTGAGAGTTTTGTGTGTGACCGCCTCCAGACGGTGTTTCTGCAAACTTAGGCTTAGGAAAGGGAATACATGCCTATCCGTCTATCTAACAACCATCTGCGTTTGCAGTGTATTTCTCTTTACATGCTGCCCTTTTCAATAGTTCTTCCGTCTCTGATCCATCCCTTGTTTCTGTTCTTGTGAACACGTTTGCCTATAATGCCTGCCTGCCTCTGTACCTCACCTGTGATCCCGTGCATGCCCTTCGGACTCACCTGCCCCCGTATCGCATGCACGGCCACGGATATCAAGTCAGCGAGCATCGCGCAGCTCGCGAAGTCTGAGGCACAGGCCAGCCGACCAGTTGAAACTCCTCTAGACAGGCATAGACAAGTGACATAACAGCGGAGCAAGGGGCAGCAATGAAAACACTACTCTGGCGATCTGACATGACTGTTTTCTCACACCGTTACTGTGCCATATCGTCCTCGCACCCAGGGACGCCAGAGCTGCAGCGACGCAGTGCCGACGGCGGAGCCGGGCGGGGCAGGCGGCACAGGCGGCACTGGGAATAGCCATGTGGAGACATAAAACAAGCAAGGTTTAGGACCCCAGAGTTTAGTGGAGACAGATCAAGCCGAGCCATGACCATGGGGAAAAACAATAGGATTAGTACTCTATGATCTCTTGGGGTCTAAAGCTCAGCGCGAGGCACGGAAGGTATCTAGAGGCGAGCCTTGCCGGTGCCCGCCGAGAACCCGCCGAGACGTCGCGGCGAAGAAGCGAAGTTAGCTCGCCTCGCGACCACGAGAAGTAGAGGAAGTGCGATGCTGCACGGGCTTGCGAGTGCCGGCTTCGTGTACCAAAGAGTATACAGACTGTAATCTATTGCCGCAAAGTGCGCAAAACCCAAGATCCTGCAGCCCCACCGGCCAAGCCCTGAAGGATTTCTGAAGATCCTTCAGCCCCACCGGCTGGGCATTGAAGGATTTCCAATGTCAATGGTATCACGGCTTTTTCGGTATAGAACATGCTGATACCACTATAGCTCATGAACGCACCCCAGAAGCTCTTGGTCCAAACCACAGCGGAAAACCTCCTCCATCGTCCCTGAACTCGAAGTCGCGGGCAAGCGGCTGTCCAAAGATGTCAGGCGCTCGTGGAGCTGCCAATCCATACCGGGCCATATCGGTCTGACTCTTGGGAATGCTAGTCTATGAATCTTAAAGTTCTTGAACGTGACAACGAAGATTGCAACTATTCACTGACGCGGCTTGAATGCCAGCAACTCGAAACGTCCTCCGTGCCGTGCGTCGCGGCCGTAACAGCGAAGCAACCGATGAAACGATCAGGTCTTGATGGTGACCACAGTCATGGTGGCGACAACTGTCATCATTCATAAGCACAACCATGATCACAGCAGGACGAACTAGCAACTAAAATCAACACCGGTCATGCATTCCGGCCTGCGGATGCTCCACATCTCGAATGCCACCGTGCGACAGTGGCCAAAGTGATACAAGCTACCCAGCTCAAAACAACCAAGTCCTCCTTTTAATTTACTGACATGAATAATCCTCGTAGTAGTAGGTAGGACCAAGAGCAGCTGCGGCAGTTCTCATGCTCGGGCACTCTTTGACATGCACTGCTCGGTGCAAATTCATTGGATCTGTCGTGTAAACCCCTGATTTGTGAACTCCCTTCCCGTGGTACTCGGGACTACAGTGACTACACTTGGGGCACACGAATGTATCGATGCCCTTTGAAGGAAGGACTCAGGGGCCTACAGGGTCAGGTATTTCGCGTGAAAATTTATTCTCACCACAAACCCCAACGAGTTTGCCTCGGCCAAGAGCCGGGGCCCCGACATATCGATGCCGAGGGCTTGAAGTTCGGAATATGTCAAATGCATTCTTTACTTCTCTGGTCCTGGCAAACTCGCCGCCTTCCAAGCCCACGATACTAGTGCTGGGAAGCTGGGTCTGCAGATTTGCAGAGCATAGAATCATAGAATCTCTAAGACTCTAGGCCCATCAAGACGGCCCGAAGGCGTCCACTGAAAGCTTGAAGCTCTTGGAATGAAGGCAATCTGCTTTGCAGGAAGCCGGAAGGGCAAGGGGTACGGAAGCCAGGTCTGCAGAGCGGGTGCTTTTGGTGGCGTCCGGTGTGAAGTTCTTGTGTCTTGCGTGCCGGCTTCAGAGCATCGGCTCCTCCCTGCAGGAAGCTTAGGGCTTAGGAGGTCTCATGGGAGCTTCTAGTGCCCTGAGGCGGAGCCTTATGCTTCAACGTGGAGAAGGCAGAAACGCGTAGCAGGGAGGGGAATTGAGGCGTTCGTTCTCGTCAGAGCCTCCTCAATGCAGAGATGGCCTCGGAAACCCTCACGGCCCAAACAAAACTGTCACAGCCCCTCTCTCTGTAGCGACTCCGACAAGCGGTCCAAGCATCTTCAGGTGTCAGTGCTACTACGACTACTGCTACTGCTGCTGCTGCTGCTACTGCTGCTACCACCACCACCACCACCACGACTACTTGTACCACTTCCACTACTACCCACCACTACCACGCGAAGGCTGGCTTGGCCCGCATTGAAACTTTCGCAAAGACGACCTTCGCCTGAGAAGATTGAAACAATCCAGCCAGAAGGCGGGGACCTTCAGAACTCTCCGAAGCTCTCGGCTCCGAGAGCTCGGAGCCTTAAGTAAAAGCCTCAGTACATCTCAGCTTTATATGGGTTTTAAATCTTCGCCGCTCTGTAAGGGAGTGCAGAGGCGAAGCTTCTTCCCTAAACCACTCTACACCTCGGACCCGACAAGAAAAATGGCATCCCCAAAAGCCTTAGTCTCCATCCTTCTCGGCTACAAGATCGGGCGAGGTACATCCTTGGATCTAGTTTTCATGATGTAGAAACATCTTCAGGAATGACTGGCTTAGGGTCTTACTTTGTGGGTTTCCTGCATCATGCATGCACTTATATCCGTGTTCTGCTAGCAGCCAGCCTCTGACTCTAACCCGTACAATCTTCTAAGCGGGACAAGTACTACAGCACATCCCAGTGCGCATCCCGGTTGTTTCAACAAGAAACCCATGTGATCTCACAGGAACCGTACGATGTGTACAACACTAGGACGGTCGTAGTAAAACTTCAGCAGCGTCCCGGCTTGTACTTCGGGGCTCGGATCACGTGATGCTGCCGTCACTGCTGAGGGCCGGGGGCCCTGGCCGCATGCTTCGCAAGTTCTCTGCCCCAAGAAATGGAAACGGAAGCGGAAGCTCACAGCAGCCACCACCTACCCAGCAGAGCAAAAGCATCCGAGCATCCGCGGGCCGGGGCGGATCTTCGGAGGCCAACGGAAAGCGACGAGAACGGACCCAATAAGTCCCGCGAAATCTTCTGATTGAAAGCAAAAACCACAGCGACTTTAGAGTCAAAGTCAGTCCGGCCAACCTGGCTCCAAACCCAGGGCGATTTTGATGCGGTTCATCTCTGCAGCAGAATGCACGTGGAACCTCGGAACGACTGCGGCTCTGTCAGAAGCAGCTCAATGACGGAACCGAGAAATCAGATGGGTGTGGGGAGCACATGGGTTGGGGGAGTCAGGGGGAACATAAGCGTAGACATCGAGTTGGCAGATTCGATGCGAAGCAGAACACCGGCAGGGGTGCGCCGGTGTCGAACCTCCAAAAACATGGCGCTCTTGCAGACTGGTGGCCGCTTCACTTCGTGGTACAACATTAACAGGTCGGAGGCCTTCGGCATGCCATTGAGCCTGAGCACCGAGGAGGGAAGGCCATCAGACTGTGCGAGGATTTTTCAGGGTTCCGGTGCCAGGGTTGTTCGGAATGTCAACATGCGCCGAGAAACTTAGCTTGAATGAGGCTCACAGTGGATCGGGCTTAGGACTTAGGACCAGCTCCGTCTTCGTCATCCGCCGTGTAGCTAAACTTCAATATGCAGAATCGCAAAACTACGAAGGTAAGGAGAGACAAGCCTGAACATGGAGCCCAAACCCTAACCTGTTTCATTTCACAAGTTCTGGGCCTAACAGCGATCTCCAGGAAGTCTTCAAAGCCGATGTTCCCATCGTCCTTCATGTCCAGCACCTGTTCAAGATGGGGGTACCGGCAATCGTCAAGAAAGTAGAGGATGCCAGGCTGTTCTCGCGAGTTGGAAAAGACTCTGTGGGTCTGTGTATGTTCTCTTCAAAGAAAACTTGGGGAAATTAGTTGAATAGTGGGCTGCAGAGATCCTCCCCGCAAGGCACACAACGTGCAGATGGCGGCACTTTTAAGATCTCTTCTTCAGGCTTTGCGGGCCTCGCCTCTGCCCTACAGGGCCCTGGAGGCCCCATATACTCCGCCCATCTCCACCCTTTGGAGTAGGGCTTTTAGGCAGAATAACTTGTTGAGGAGGGGGTGCTCAAAGCGGCACACCGTTCTCTGTACATTCCCAGATATTTGAAGGAATTGGGCTTCTTGGGGCTTGTGGCTTTCTTCGGGGCACTGAGCTTAAGGACTTTAGGGCTAGGAGTGTCCAAGATATCACGAAGTTCTGGGCCTCGTGGTTTCGACCGTCAGGGTGCTAAGCATGAGAAGGGTTTCGTGCTTCGGGTTCAAGGTCTGAGACTGAGGGTTGCAAGTTTGAGGTCTCCTGTCTGCTGCCCTGCGGCTTAAGGATTTGCATTGGGTCCAGGGCAAGGTATTGGCAGCGCCGAAAGAGCACTTACGTCATAAGTTCTACTACCTAGTCTCGGACGCAACCCTCAGACCTGAAGACTGATCCAGCGCCGTCAAATGTAAACCTGCACCCAATCACCTTACCTTTTGAAGCAGTCCCCACACCCTATAATCCCAACTCCTGCAACTCAAAACCTTTAAGTCTAGACCCCGGACCTCGATGAGGTGCTGCGCCTCCTCCGGGTGCACCTGCGCCCGCGACAGGCACCAGAAAGCCGTGGGATTTGAGCTGAAAGGCTGGCTTTCGGGTTTTGGTTTTGGAGTTTAGGGCATCAGGGCTGAAGGATTTACGATTTAAGGTTTTAGGATTTACGGTATTCGAATTTTTGGTCGTACATATTTGGACGTTCGCTTGCGACCGCATTGCGAGTGAAGTGAAGAAGTATTCGGGTTTGGGGTTCAGGGTTTAGCGCGTCGGACTTGGTTGCAGATTAAGGCTAGGCTAGAAGGCTAGAGAAGAACGGGGAATGAAAGAAAAGCTTGAGACAACGATGTGCAACCAGCAACAGAAGAGTAGCTGGCAGAAGCTAGGGCAATCGCCAAAGACGCTGCTAACGTCGCAAAAGGAGCCTCCCAACATCCCAGTACCCACATGGCGCATGGTCCAAACCGGAATTCAATCCTGAAACCCTGAGCCTTGAATCACTAAACCCGCCAAAGGCCCGAAGCGTAATTCCTAAATGCAAAACAGTCGATGACCAAGGCGCATCGACCGATTCGAAAAACTCGAGAACGGCCGGCGTAGACGCGTGCTCGCGAATCTCCTACGGATGCCAACAGGCATAGGGTTGAAGACTCCAGGGATGTTCTTGCAGAAATCCAAAATGTGTCAGCGCGGGGTTTGTGCAGTGGGACGAGTGTGTCTAAGCCCGAAACTGAAAGACTTCTGAACTCCTAGCCTCACCCCACGAAGCTTAAGACAGGGCCGCCTCTACCGAGATGGATCCAGAGCCATCTGCGTCCAGCTCCTGGAACTCTAATTTTTGGGAACCAAAAGCCTCTGGGCAGCGGTTTGGGCTTTGGGCCTTAGGTGAGGTACTTTCACATTGCATGGGGTCCAGTGCTGCAGCACTCATTTTTTTCTGGGCAAGCTAAGCAGCAAGAGACACAAAGACAATGATCATCATCATTGTTAACAAAGGTGTTGAACATTCACCATGCTCTGACTCACGGTTGCCATCATCATCACCATCATCATCATCATCATCATCAGAATTTTGAGCACGGAAGCTGACCCTAGACCTTCAACTTAAGACCTTGCAAGCTGCACAATCTGAATGGAATAAAGCAATCTCGAGCAAGCTGCCGCCCGCTGCACGAGAATCCACGCACATTTGTTCCGATCCAAAATAACACCATCGGCAGCATGAGAAGGCCTGGTGTGCGAAATTTCATCTGACAACACTCGGGGTCAACCCGCCTACTGGTCCGACGCTGCGCCAGGCAAAGAGATGCGGAAGAATCTAGCTCGGATATCGTTACAATGCTGTTCTGTCGATGAAAACTTGTCTGAGACCTGTGCCTAAGAAAAGATGCCCCAAACTCGTGTCTTCGTCGAGTGGGGTGCTCAAACTGCCAAGCCCTGGAAGGTCCTGCACTACACCGCAAACGGCCCGAAGCGCGAGTGAGATACTAAGCCAGACAAAACCTCGAATACCTCAAAACTCGTGGGGCCTGGAAGACACGCCGTGCTTTGACAATCCTGAGCGACTGTGGTTTGATGCGCCTGTGTAAATCCGGGGACGGGGTGACGATGATGACGATGATGACGATGGTGATGATGGTGACATGATGGTGACATGATGGTGACATGATGGTGAGATGAAGATGATGATGATGATGACCATGACGATGGCGATGATGATGTTGTCGATGATGATGGTGATGGTGACCATGACGATGGCGATGATGTTGTTGATGATGGTGGTGATGATGGTGATGATGGTGATGATGGTGATGATGGTGATGATGGTGATGATGGTGATGATGGTGAGGGTTATGATGATGACCATCATCTTCACCGTTACCATCATCGCCATCATCATGATCAGCATCACCATTATTGATTGTCTCCATATTGTGTGTGTGTCACTGATGACTACCATTATCATGACCTCTGCGACAGCAACAGCAACAACAACAACAGCAACAGCTACGTCAATTTCAACAGCAACAGCAGCAGCAGAGAGAAGAAAAGAACGAGACGGGGAGCGGGCCAATGTGATGTCTGCATGCAAAGAGGCCGGCTGCGGATTTTGAGATCGGCTGCCTCAAAAGATCTGACTAGGACTTTCAGATCCAGGGCCAGGCATTTAAGGGTCGAGGCGTTTTGGGTTTCGGTTAGCTGGTTGCGTCAGGTTCTTCGAGCATTGGGATTTGGCAATGCTGCGGCATGCGGAGGAGCCGACTGGAAGGCATGCTGCTGGGTGGACCACTCCGATTTCAGAGCTCGAAGCTTCGGAGATCCAGAGCATAGCATAGAGTGGGCTCTTGGAATGCAAGGCCTAGGCTTCAGGCTAATTACAAGGTTTGCCGCAGGTTAGCGGATGTGTTCTCGAGGCGCTGGGCCTGGGTAAGAACACTAAAAACTCATATAGCGAAGATGCTCAAACATGGGAATGTAGGGTGTATCCTAGTGTAGTGAACGATCGGTGTTGAACTTAAACCTTTGTATCTCGAACTTCATTCCATTTTCTCGCCTTTGAAGGCGGTGCGCAGGCAAAGAGCAATCCTGAATCGAAACTGTTCCAACCAAGCCCTGCGCGATATGCCTGCTGGCTGACCGACTCCACAAAGGTGCCCGTGATCAGATTCATGATAGCCAGGTAGCCTCAAAGATGCCGTCTTTTGCTTCTTAAGCGACATCATAATGCTTGCAATCGGAATCCTCAGATTGATGTCCTCACTCACTCATCATCGCGATCCGCTGACGACGAACAGAGCCCGATAGAACGGGGGGGGACCAGGGGACAGGGCGGGAGCGAAAGCCCGGCCCAAAGCCCAGCCTGTACCGAGGTGGCCTTTGCCTTTTCCTCTTTCTTGAGTATGGGGGGGGGGGTGTCCGTTTTATGGCCAAAGGTCGTCCACTTCTGGTGATTCCAGTTTTGCCCAGGAGCTGTAAGCCATCCAGAGCACCAAGAAGAAGGCATAGGCAGGAGAGACATGATCTTTAAGCGGCCTTGGTGCCAAAGTAGCATGCACGGATTGCGCTTGAATTTACAGGATCCCGCCCCAGAATGGGTTTGGGGTTCAGGATCATCCCGAGAGGTCGAAAGGAAAGCCGCTGACGCTGGGCGGAATCTACAAGGTTCTTTGTGTGGCTCTTCCGAGACTGCAACAACCACGCTGTGAACCCTCGGCGCAAAGCTGCTGTGAGAGTCCCGAAAGACCTTCTTGCACCTCACCCCGGCATGAAAAAATCATGGTCCCATTCCGGCCAGCAGGCTTCATGCAATCGTTCCAGTCGATACCGCCGGTGAGAGCTTGAAAAAGCGACAGCATGCCTGGGAGCATCTGGCTACGGAGTGCACTGCATGCCGCCGTTCCTTCGGCAAGTGCTGAGGGGCATGCTTGCAGCACTTGTCGACCTGACGAAGCTCAGCCCAGCGGCTCAGGGGCAGATTCCCCCACCAGGTTTGCAGATCTTCCATGGAGGCGCCTGTGAAAGGGGCCACATCAGTTCCTCAAACTGTACACCATCTTTGGGCGCAGTCTGGTGTGTCCAGGAAGGATCATGCGATGCCGTGCTTTGAACTACTACCATGTCGTAGTTTTGACGATGGTGCTGGCATTGTGTCTGAAAGCTGTGATAGAAACAACTAGTGTCGTGATGTACCAAGGGATGCTATCTTCCATCAGCCATCAAGTCAATAGCAGCATTTCCCATCACTCGCAGACGTAGCAATGATAGTCACATGGGCTCTCAAGCGAGAACTGCAACACGAATTGAGCACATCGCCCAAGCCTTGAACACTGCAGACAGTTCTGCTCAAGCTCAGGACACATTAGAACTAGGGCAATGATTCGATGATGGTCATTACGATCATCGCCGTCATCGGTACGAAGTTCGCGATGATATCACGATTCTGATGCTTGCCATGATCAACGCCATCATCAACAACATTATCAACACCATTACAGCATGCTTCACAATCATCGCTGTGACCACGAACGTTGCAAACGCCAGAAGAACAGCAAGACATTTGTCTGCAAAGGGGCTTCCAGGGTTGTCCAGACCGTGCTGGTAGACCATGCCGGTCAGCTCAATGGCCATGATCTCAGGTAGCTGTTGAAGTTTCGATCTGGGAGCTGACATCGCATAGGTCCAGAACAGACAAACCCCGCCCGGTGACTAAAGCTATAGAAGCGGACCGAGTACCGCTCGAACTGTGCACTGTATAACCTGCCATCTTGCATGCTTCTGTTTGGGGCCATGTTGCAGTAGTCTTTTGTGCCATAGTCTATTCCATCCACGTGGTTCGGACACTGTTCAGCTGAAACAACCATTGGCATCCAATCCTGCCATACGTCTGGGATAATGCCAACTTCAGCATCAGACGGCAGCACCTACTCTGCACTGCGAGTCTGCGAGTGTATCGGTTGTACTGCACCTGACACTGTTGGCAGTCGTCACTGCGAACGCCAAGGCCACTCTTGGTGCCCATGTTGCCACGGACGACGGCGACTGTTGAGCCCTAATTTCCGGAATCTCTCCTGCCAGGCAAGAATCGTAAATCATAATGAAGAGGAAAGCTGAGGTCCAGAAGAAAGTGCGCAGCGACCTTGGCTTGAAGCTTTTGGGCCGCAGGGTGCGGAAACCCTGCCTATCTTATACATCCTGCGTGACATCACGGACCCCAAAGCCCATGGAGTGCTGGTATAGTCCTTCAGGACATGTACTGTCTGAGAACAGGGGTCGAGCAGTCAACTTCGCACTGCTAGCAATCGCAGCAAGTCATGCTCGTCATTGTGGAAAAACGACAAAAACCAGAGCGAGTTACTGTACGGCAACACGAAGCGTGCTCTGTTCTCACGAGTACCATGACCAATGCCAGCACGACGGCTGGCAAGGTGCTAGTGCCTAGTGTCAAAGCCGAGCGACAAAACGAGGCAGCTCACGATCAGCTGCAGGTTCTCCGAAAAGCGGACAGTGCGGATCAGGCGGATGACCTGAGATTGAGACTGGCAACTTGAAGGGAAGCTGCGGGCATGTGCAAACCCAAAGGCCGCAACAAGATGTAAGACCAGCCTGGGACCCTTTACAAGATTTGCTGGTGTGCTTCCCTTTTCCCTGTGCGCGGAACCACAACCCAGGTCCGACCTTGATGCCACGCATCACGCCAACCACTCTCCTCGGCTTCAAGGCGTGGTCAAAGGCTTCGCAAACTTCGCAGAGCGTGAACATTCACAACATTTACATGGAAGTTTCACGAAAACCAAGAGCAATGCATGCGAAAAGCAAGAGCAATGCATCCGCACGACTGCTACCTGTCGTACGAGTTCTGCAACGACCCCGATATTGTCGCCGTCTTCATCTTGACACTTTGTCATTATTCCCGAGAGTTGCTCATACTAGGCTATTCATACTAGTATTTTCAATGGCTTGGTCCCTCAACCTGAAGCACACTTGGTGCCGAGTGCACATGCCGTGATCCTACGTGTTATGGTTGCTATGAGCTTTAGCACCTGCTCTTCTCAAACTGGCCAGGTCTCATCAATGGTGCGTTTGCGACCTGGGATGTCAACGGGGTGAGCCAATCGGGAGAGCGCGACGCTTGAAGCTGGTGGCAAATGCTTTCATGTATATTCAAATCATGAAGAGAGCAAGAGCACACTCTGGAAGGAATCCTTTCCTGTTGAAGCGCGTTGCTGACATGGATCAATTCCTTCAAGCGTTAAGGCTATGCTCCGGGTGCCCGCACGTCGTCCCCGACGCTGGTCACGGTCGCGATAAGAATCAATGTCTCTTCGATGAGCTGGATGACCTCGCGATCTCGAGTTCAGTGTGTGTGTGTGTGGGTTAATCGCTTAAACCCAAAGTCCAAAATCGCGAGGAGTCCTGATTCCTGAAGCTACCAGGCCGCAATGCGCCGGGCACGAAGGCAAACTCAGAGAAGAGCGCACTGAAGGATGCAACTGCTGCCGAAGTGCTACCAAGACCAAGTCAATGATGTTCCAGGCACAACCTGACAGCTTCGACCGGCTGTAGGGACTTGGGATGTCGGGCCCCAGTGACTGTGAAACTGCTACTCGTGCCAAGAGTATGACTTTCGCTGCCTTGCCTGCCCGTCGAATCATATTCGGCAAACTGTTTCAGTCAAACTTCTGCTAAATCACAAACGCTCTGATCGAACATGTATGCCCTGGCTCGCATCCTAAATGAAAACAAGGACGGGCTTCCAAACAGCGTAGACCATCGTCTATCGAGTGAGCAAGCGGAGTATTCTTAGACCCTGGAAATCTCTCTCTCTTGGTAGTCTTAGACTCGTACAGTCTTAGGCTCAACTCACAAGACGTGCAGCCGTACATCGTGAAGAAGCGGCACCGGTGAACGAAAAGACGGAGGCCTGGCAAGCACAGCAGAGTGGAGCAAGTCCAGGTGAACTGATCCTTTCGTTCGAAGAGGCACAGGTGCATGCTTCAATCCAACAGTCGGTATTATCAGAACTGTAGGACCTGAACTGTGCTCATCCCTACAGCGTTGAGTCTTTCAGAAGCACTGGAGTCCGAAGTGCAAGCATGACATGATCCTAGATGAGATGGGGCAGCCAGCACCGACAAGTCTCAAAAAACGTTGAATCCCGAGGAGTGAAGCTCAAAAGCCAACAACTGAAAGACGCTCAAGTCCGAACCCCAAACTCTAACGATCAGAAGTGGGGAATCCCCGCGAGCTGGCATCTGGCTTTCCGCGTGCTGATGCGAGTACGAACAGGTGCAGCGGCCGTAGCAGCAGCGGCAGCAGTAGCAGCAGCAGTAATGAAAACAACAATACTGTACTAGCTAGCAGTAGCAGTAGCAGTAGTGGGAGGAGCAGTGGTAGTAGTAGTAGTAGTAGTAGTAGTAGCAACAGCAGCACTGCTTCTATTCCTGCTGCTGCAACTGCTACGGCTACAACCACTACAACCACTCCCAACAACACCAGTATCACTGCTAGTGCCACTGCCACTCCCTCGAGGCTTACAAGGCCTACTTCAACAGTGAAGAAGACGCAGAAGATGATGTCTGTGACACGAAAGCCGATGGGAACCTCGCAACGAGCCACAGAGGATGTGGATTCCGCAACGGCTCAGGGTTTTGGAGTGTAGGGTTCGAAGCTCTGTGTGTGCAGAACACTCCAGTCTTCGGACCTCGCTGCATCTGCCCTTGATCTACGCAAACTCAAGACTCGTCGCACCAACCTTGCTAAGACGACAAACAGAAGCATCGCAATACGACAAAAAGACTCTGAAGAACATTCGGATACGCGGCAGTCCGAGACTGTGCGGCAGCGATGAAGTCGATCTGGACGCCGATTTGCAGGGAGTTGAGGAGAATCCTGATGGGAACTTGAAAACTTGGAACGCACATCATGAAGAATACTTAAATAGCGGACGGAGGCTTGACTGCCGGGCAATTGAAAACTGAGGTGACTGGAGCCACATCGCGGCCTCTGCATCTAGGTCACTGTGATTGGTTAGCCAGTTCGGCACTACGTAGCAGTGTCGATAGCTCACCTTGCTCACAGTGATGCTATCACGAACATTTGCTTGGCACGAAGGTCTGGCTGTTTGTCGATAATCAGTGTAATTGCGCCCGGTACACGGCTGATGCTGCTGCAAAAGCTCCAGCCAAAGTGGAACCTGCTTTCAAAATACTAAGGACGAATGTGGAGATTCCGTTGAAGCCAAAGGACACTAAAGCGAACTTGGTGCTCGACATGATTAGGATGGCGCGATGGTGGTGAGTACTTTGCGTAACCATCATCCTTCGAAAAGGATTCATTCAAAGCGTTTCGACAGACACTGGGTGCAAAGGATGCTTACGGCCGAGTTTTGTTCGTCGCACTGCATGGAAACGTCAAAACCCGTCATGACCATTGTGCAGCACTCGAAGTAAGCGCTGCAGATGATCCGTCGAATCCGCCTGGCCGCAGGGGCTACAGAGCTGCATCGAGTTTGGCCGCAAACCTTTGGGGGGCATTTGCTGTCTCGTACAAGTTGCATGTAGTTGCCAAGATGGCCCCACAGAGCCAGACTTGTACGCAGGCGGACGAGGGTGGCAGCAAGAAAGAGTGCCTTTTTTCTTGGGCATTCACGAAAGCTTTCCAGGCCTTCGCAAAGTGACGCTCGACCTCAGGGCGTCAGACGCGTCGCCGTCCTCCGTAAAGAGCACGGATCTGTTGCAAAGTCATACCCAGACGACAGGGAGAAGAACCACGTTGACGTGGGAAGCCGTACTGCTAGCCCGGGCAAGAAGCATGCCAGTTTCCTCGAAGTAAGCAGCTGTCAAAATGTCAGACCAAGGCTTTGCCCGAGATCCTAGATCCCACAACCTCAGAGAATCTTTAAGCTGTGCCAAACTAGGCACGCCTGCCGACGACGCAAGGCGTCCCCACCTATGAGAATCGGCTTCGGGATTGTAGCATCTCGGCCTTCCTAAAGTCCTAAAGACAGGCAAGAGCTCCTCGTCGACCTCTCGTTTGGCATCTGGGACAAGGCCAAAGACTTCCTCAGCAAGGACCTGCCGACGCTCGGAACATTGGGGCAGGCTGGAAAGGTCGTGGGCGATGGCAGCCCCTTCGAACTGCAGCAAGCCACTGACATACTGAAACCGTGACCACTGTTGCGCTGGCCTTCGCACAGGAAAGCAGATCTAGTGAAATCAATGGTGGCACGAAAGGCCGTACAGTCGGCACGTGCCGCAACCGCAGAAGTCAGGTCAAGTCAGAATACTGAATAGCAGGGCACAGTCGTTGCCGTGATGATCGCACTCGTGTCCGCATTGTCTTCGCGCTGTGTAACAAAACCACTACACTACTGGTACTGCTACTCTTCTCACGGCTTGTCTCCTTAGCTCCTGCTTGCTTTACTGCTATGCGTTCCAAGCATGCCAATGCCACGACTCTGACAGATATTGTCACGCACTCTCGTCTTCTACTTCGGCACCATCAGCACCACCATCACCACCTATCACATCATCTGTATAAACATCGTCATCATCGACCTCAGCACCATCAACAACATCATCATTCTACTGTACTGTTTCTCTCTGCGCCGCCGTTTCACCTGCTTTGTTTCTTAATGACGAAGGTCTGGCGGACATCAAAGGTTGTCTCTTCACTACGCCCGCCGTTGGGGTTGCTTGGGTCGGGCCTTCCGTCATGATAACCGACCTCTTGTCAGAACTCGGGCATTGAAATGAGCGAAATTGAAAAAAAAAGCACCTTCCTGAGAGAGTGGATCTAAGCAAGGAGTCGCCGAGTCGCCTGGCTGGTCTTCGTCTTGAGAGTCTTGGAGGGCGAGCGGCCCACACGGAAGGAAACTGGCAAGGGTCGCCACCGTTCCGAAGCTTGAACTTTTCGAGGTAAACCCAAGGCTCCCTGCTGTCTGATTTGCGACGTGCTTCAAGCCACTGAAGCCACTGAATGCGATTCGATCTATTGCATCTAGGGTTTCGACTCGTGTCTAATAGCATACTCCCACCTCTGCGCTGACCCACCTGACGCGGCGGCGATGCAGCATCGGTGCCTGGCGGGAACGTAGGCTGAGCAAGATCGCCGAGATGAATCACGATCAGAGTCACGATGATGCGCAGAACGAGCAAAAGGCTCATGACGAGAGTTCAAAGCTTTGCACCACTGTCACAAGCGACAGCTGTCATAACAACTGTCACTTGTCCAACATTAACATTATCAGCGGCAGCACTGCAGCAAACTGGAAGCTTGGATAAAGAAGCCATAGTGAATAACAGTCGAAACATGAAAACTTTTCTGTCTGGCTGAGAAAAATGAAGCTGGGTACTCCGAGTCGCAACAACTTAAGCAACAGCGGCCACAGTGCTGACAGACCTGACATCCATGCCTGTCAAGCACAGCAGCAATGATGCTGCCAATCAAAGCAGACAAAGATATCCAAGCGGCAAAGATCACAATGCTAAGCCAACAGTAAGTCCTTGCCGTTGTGGCAGTAACGACAATCATGTTCTTTTGTAGGTACGAGCGTGGTAAGGATGATGACGGACATAACACTAGCTAGACACTACCGGTACGGACAACACAGGGTAAGAATCACCATCAAACAGAAGCCGTGAAGAGGCATTCCAGACAGCAAGCAGAGTCATAATCATCATCTCTGTGTGACCTGCAAGCTTTTGCGTGTATGACCGTATCCTTGAAGCTGTCAAACAGACCTGACGTAAGAACCCTGCAGGTGGCCTGTGGCACCAAAGGCATCCTCCTTGCACGCTTAAGGTCACTACTCGCTTTCTTCACCAGCTGCCGACTTTCCAAGGCGGAGCGACAACCCGTCGTGAAAGCAAAGAGAATGCAACATGTTGGCTGTCCTGCAATTGTCCCAGGACCTTCGAGGAGACCATCGTACGCAACGGACGCTCCATTTGCGGCCGATACCTTGGTAACGTCAGCCATTCGGATACCAAAGATTGACAACACTCGCGCATCGGAGATAAACGCATGCCCCTGAGCCTGGAAAAGGGCAGCGACGGTTTGGTTCGTGCTCATGAACTTTCTTCTTCGGCTCGGTTCTCTGATCTTCCGGTGGTCCTTGTCTCACAGACAAACCTGTAGGACCTGCGGTTCGAAAGAATCAAGGATCAATCAAGAGGTCCTTCTGCAAGGTACATCATGTTGCCATTGGTTACCAGGACGGTTACCTGCTCTTGCGCAAGATCACGAGGGGCCCCTAAGCGCAAATGCCAGATGTCCGAAGTACTGTGAAGGTGATACAGTACACATGCGACAATCATGGATGTTGATCGTCATGGCGATAGTGATGACATATGATGACGATAATGATAGGTCTTATTGCCACCCACACTGAGAGCTCGCGACTCCGGGTGCCCCGGCGTTCCTTTCAGGAGCTCCTGAGGCGAAGAACTTCGGATGTTCCTCTTTAGGGCTTGCGTTTCTGCGGCGAGGCGAGGCCAAGTTTGGGAGGACAGGGGATGCCGGGCTGGGCCCCACTGGTTGCTTGAGGATTTGCAGTGGCAAGTGTGGTTAAAGCTCCCGGCTATTTCAGACGTAAAGGGGTTCTGCCGGAGAGCCACAGAGGCAACGAACTCGGTCGCAAAGACCCTGAAGCCGTGCAAAGAACAAGAGCCAGTTCAACAGCGCCACCCTCCTGTCGATACATCCCACAGACCAACGGACAACGGACCCGACCAAACTGTACCAGCGCAACAAGGCAAATGTCGGAAAGACAATTATTACATAGCAGTAAGATCCAGTGAAATGCACTTGATCTGCCGCGAGCCCCGCAACTCTTAAGCGCTCAGCCCTCAAACCTTAAATGCTGACAAACATCTGAAAGCTCAAGCCATTCAACTCCACACCCAAGGATACCGAGAACCGTCTTCCCGGAAAGGTACAGTGCTGAGGGCCTACACCGTCAATCCTAAACTTCAAAACCCCCCGAGCCCAAGCCGCCCAAGCACAAAATCCGCAAGACTACAAGTTCCCTCTCCGCTCCCCGGCGCCTGCGGTGCAGCGAAGAGAGCCGAGTCCTCCGAGCCCTGGCCGCCCACGCCCAGGCACAATTTCAGCTTTTTAGAGTCACCTAAACCCTCGAGCTACGCCCCCGGCCCGGGCCCCCCCAGGCAGCGCTCCACCTGGCCCAGCGGCATCAAAGTCGCTGTCGCGGAGGGCACGGAAGACCTGAGACCAGGCTGCGCATCTCTGAGAGCGGCACGAAAGGGCGCAGTCTCGTAAGTCTAAAACTCCAAAGTCATCGCGAGTCTGATACAAGTCATACTGTCCAGCAGACGATGTGTGCGATCTTTCAGCTTCCAACCGTGGCTCCAGCTGATTCCGTGCCAGCGCCTCCTCGCATGATACATTTACGGGCATCTTCATCAGTTCAGCAAAGAACCTCGCTCCAAGCATTTGCGGTTGTTCTCAATCGCCACTCCTTGCGAACTTTGTGAAACAAGAACATATCTCGGAAACTGCACCGCGGTGAGGTTAGAGTGCCCACACTCACGTGCAATTACAATATCTGCGATTTGCATGCTCACCAGTGCTCCCTGGCTTCTGGATCCATTACAGCTACACGAACCCATCAATCGCTCACCATGTTCGTGGGGAGGCATCTTGATGGAGCTACAGATTGAAGCCACCCTTCTGAGGGCTGTGCCGTACTCATTCCGATTCCCGTCCAGGGGAATGATTAGAAGTTGCAAACATGTCTGAATGCTTTGAGAGGGTGGTCCTCCATCTGGCCAGTGGCTTTGTCAAGCCGCATTTCCATCTGATCGCATTACACACATTGGAGATGGCTTGTAAAGCAACCCAAAACGTCGCGCGTGCCTTTCAAGAAACACTTCACAAAACCTCAAACCGCTTGCAAGCTGCCGTGCGCTTCTTTCGCAGGTTTTTCAAACTTTAAACACTAAGACCGACCCCTTAACCATACGGAAACCCCGAAGGAACCTGGCTAGACCAGCCCTAGAATCACAAATCTTGCTCATTCTGCAGCATCCAGCCCAGTATAATCGCAGTGGTTAATATGTCGTGCAAGCAGGCAGGGTAAGTCGCTAGTGCAATGACCTTCACAGCACGACAACTGGCTGGCAATGTAACAATGCTTTGATTGGGGTGCCTGTGTTGACCAGAACCGGCGAAGAATACACCACTCCAGCATTCAAACATCCACACTTCTCAAACTTGACTGTCGGTCTGAGCCGCATGAGATATGCATCACGCTTTACATTAAAGCACGGATGAAATCTCCTCAAGGACCAGAGGATCACCCCCCAAACCGCGTGGCCATGTACTGTTGGCGCAGGAATCCACGAAGTATCAGTTACGCAACGGCCTTGGCCAGGAGGCTTTGTGTGGACTCCGTGAGCTCTGCTTGAACTTGCTGACAGATGTCTGTGGACCTCGGATCTTCCGAAGTTTCGCGGCTCAAACCTCTACGAGGACAGTTCTTGGCGTCTGGGAGGGACCAGATGCTTCATACGTGTCTTCATAAGGAGAATCCCGTGCAACAAGCCACTTTGGAACTGCGTCGAAATCGCTGGATTCCGATTTTTGGGAAGATGGCAGTGATGGATGCTGACAGATACAAAAAGCCTTACACCTTCGTATGTGCATACAGTATGCATGTACGCTTCTTTATGCACTACATGACCAGGCATGCTGATGGATGATAACCACCAAAACGAAAAGAGCTTCACTAGTCGTACAGATAGATAGAGAGATGCATAGGTAGACAACAGAAAGAAACATAGATAGATAGAAACTGATAGATAGATAGACAGCTAGATTAATTGACAGACAGACGGACAGACAGACAGACAGGCAGGTAGCCAGCCAGCCAGCCAGCCAGCCGGCCAGGCAGACAGACAGGCAGGCAGGCAGGCAGACACACAGACAGACAGATGGACAGAGAGAGATAGATGGCTTGACAGACCGATGGCGAGTTTGACAAGCAAATTAGCATGCACTGTTCTGTTTGTTGGTGTGTCTATGCACCAGTGTACCCGTGCGTCTATGCATCAGCACCCACCAGGTCTGTCCATCTATAAGTTTGTCCGGTATTGTACTGGTATGCAAAGCTATGACCTATGTATCTGCAGTCTTCTCTACAATATGATCCATACGAGTACATCTTCATTTCACTGTTTGCCTGCTTGCTTACATTGCATGTATGCCGGTGTTGTTGTGTGCCCGTGTGCTTCTGCAGGCACAAGTGTATACTTGGACGCGCGTGTGTGTACACAAAAACACAGAGAGAGAGAGAGAGACAGAGAGAGAGAGAGAGGGAGAGAGAGAGAGAGAGAGTTTGTTCAAATGTGTGTGTGGGTGTGTGTATATATATATATATATATACATGGATCTGTGATAGTATCGAGCTGCAATGTGCATCTACCCATGGTAGCTGCTGGATGGGCATGAAACCCTGGACCTTACCCATCGGGTGTCATTGAAGCAAGAATCAACTGCGTCAGCTTGTCCTCCATTAACACAAGCACGGAGTCCACATCTGCAGTGTCAGACGGAGGTGACTCCGCGGCATGGACACATTCAGTGCATTGACGTCGCACACACAATTTCAAGGCATAACGTCTAAATGTACAAGTGCCTTAGACTTCGGATGATGGACTCTTCGAGATATGGGACTCTGGCGTAGAACGGAGCACACCTCTGTGTTCCCACTGCTCAAATTTTCCTTACCTGTAAGCAGAACGTGAAGGTTGAAGCCACAGCATGCATAATAGTCACAGCAACATACAAGCCTTCGTGGATCCAGCCCGCAGAGACCATCGCCCCAGAAGCGACCGTCATGTTAGGGGCGTCGTCTTCAAGAGATGCTTCAGTCTAGGATATCAGCGTGGATAGTCTTGACCCGGGCAATGGAGTTGCTTGAATGGGCTGTCATTACGGCCGCGCTGCCGGCGAATGATGACGATAGTGCCCGCCCTGAATAACAGTAGTGAGATGAATAGAACTGTAGCAACACCGCTAAAGTGCTACTGGCAACACTACTGCAGCTCCTGCTTCCCTTGGTGCTACTACTGCTACCACTACTGGTACCACCACTACGACCACCAGTGCCAGTACTACCATGGAGACAAACAATCAAAGCGCCTGCCAAGGTGGAAGGACACGGAGCCTCAAGAGCTGCAGAAGCCGTTCTTTGCCTTTGGTACCACTGGGAAACTTAACGCTGAAGGCTCAAACCCAATGCTCTTGCTCACAACTCCGCATTCCAACTCTTCCAGGCTGCTCTCATCAGCAAGTGAAATGGCAGCTGCTTGTCACGATGAAGACGAAGATAGCGGCTGGTGTTCTATGACCAGGACGACAGTGATATGGGATGATGGTGGTGATGATGAACCTGTTAAAGCGGCAAAACTGGCTGAAGAAGCAACAACCGAGAAACCGAAGACAACAGCGACACGGGTACTGGTAGCGACAAGCATAAGGTTGTCAGGCGGGTGTCTGCCTTCTGCTTTTTCTACTACGAAAGACCGACACAGGGAATGGAGCATGCATGTTGACGACATGCATGCAACTATTGGCATTCCGCTTCTCGAAAGCTCGATTCTATGTCTGTCTGGAATGGAAACAATGAAACTCCTAAAACACAAAGCCAAATGTGCCATTATGCAAGTTCCCTTAGGGCAGGCATCCAAGCCCCTCTGTCAGGCAACTTGTGCAAGTAGTTTTCAGCAGACACGGTTGGATCAGCTGTCAGAGTTCAGTGAACCAGGTCCTTTGCAATGGCAAGGAGGCTGTAGCGAGCTCTGCTGCTACAACTCTGTAACCATGGCTACTTGCTCCTGCTGGTGCTTCTACCACCACTTCTCCTGTTGCGTTGCTGCTGAAGCTGCGACTACCACAACCAGTGGTGCTGCTGCCGCTGTGAGCACTTTACACATCGTTCTTCCGTCGAAAACTGCATACTCAATGCACACCTCAACCGACGAGAACTTCAGCAATCTTGGCATAAGTGGTGTGATCATCGGCAGGATGTCGGTTGCTGCAGTCTTTGGCGTCGATAGTGTACCTTGAGCAAGTCTTCCCCTCTACTAGGGCGAAGTAGTGGCATTGCGACTCTGCGCCACATTTCGCAGCGCAAATCGGGAGGCTCGCGGCATCCTCCTTCTTCCATCCGTCGTAGTAGCCGGACAGGCAATATCCACTTCCAAGCTTCCGGAACCGTGGGTCGGCCTTCAGGGCTCGCAGGGCGGAAGACAACACGAACAATGTGGTCAAAAGAGCGACGACCACTCGTTCATCATCATCATCATGATCACTGGTATGACTGACAACGGCACTTACTGTCGGCTGTAATGGCAGTGACCTCTTGTGAGCATTGCCGTCATTAAGATACAAGATGTGATGATTGAAAGCTGAAAACAGCATTGATCACTGAACCTTGACGGTCATGGTAGCGAAGCGCCGAAGATCAACATCCCAGCCGAGGCATTCTAGCCTTGATCCCCATGCTGCAAAGCATTCGTCCACGAAATTCCCTATCCTGAGCTCTACAACTAGACCACGGATCGTAAACCCGAACAGTCCCTGGTTTGCCTGCTCCGTCTTGGCATAGAGCGTATGAGACTCGGGAAAATACTCACCCCCCTGCGTCACTCGCTGGCTGCAGTCACCGGCCCTAGAATCATACCTGGCCAGCCAATGGTGCGCCGGGTCCGAGAAACGGATTTAACTAAGTGCAAAACCAGCACAAGAAAGGGTTATTAAACATAATTTGGCACCAGCGCACCTGGAACAGGTCTTCCCCTCGTAGAGAGCGAAAAAACGGCATCCGGATTCGGCTTCACATTTGGCTTTGCAGCCCTGTAGCGTGCTCTCTGCTGGAATCCAACCGGCAAAATACCCGACGGCACAGTAGCCGGTTCCAAGCTTCGTAAAATGATACAAAGCCTGTGTTTCTTGGGTCTTGGCATAGGTGGTGTGAGCATCAGCTCGATCATCACCAACTTGTCGGTCACTGCAGTCTTTGGCATCGCCTGTATACCTGGAGCAGGTCTTTCCTTCCACGAAGGCAAAATAGTGGCATTGCGATTCTGTGCCGCATTTTGCCGCACAGACCGCGAGGCTGATGGCGTCTTCGGTCTTCCATCCGTCGTAGTAACCAGACTTGCAATAGCCCTTTCCGAGCTTCCTGTAGCGAGGGTCCACCTGATTCGAGCAGCCTACACCCACGGTTACCGACGCCTCAACAAGCAACTGACGATGTCACCCTCAGCAAAATTTGGAAGGTTTGGGAAAGGATGATGTTCCAGCCTTCTCCGTCTTGGCAAAGGTCGTGTGCTGCTCCGGCGAGTATTCGCCACCCGCTTCAACCCTTTCATTGCAATCCCCGGCTCGAGAGTCATACCTCGATGTGGAAAGGGAGCTCTCTGTTGCAGGCTACACGGTGCAAAGTCTGTGACCCTGATTTTGACCGCGCCACCTGGAGCATGTCTTTCCCTCATACAGTGCGAAGAAGCGGCACTTTTCCTCTTTCGTCATAGGGGTTCGGTCTCTGGGCTTAGGGCATCAAGTCTTGCACTTTGGGGTTTCAGATGGTTTCAAGCCGGGTCCTCTTCTTGGCACTTGGCCTTGCAGCTCTCGAGATTACCGTCGGCCGCAACCCATCCTGATGAAGGGTGTAAAACTCTGGGACAAGTGCGCGCCTTCAACGGGTCTTGGCAGTTCGACAAAAGAAGCCATCCACAGGAAAGGGGACCCAAAGAAATACAGGGGATACAACCAACTCTATGTCTACTTGTACGTCTACGTCTTCTGTTGCCGCTCCTATTACCATTCTTCCTATTACTGCTGCTACTACAACTGCTGCTGCTGCTGCACCTACATCTACATCCATATCTACTGCTGGTGCTGCTCGTGCTGCTGTTGCTGCTGCTTCTGATGCCTACTGCCGCGGAAACAACAGGCGTCTTAGTTCTACTCTACTCAAACAATCGACAATGATCAACAGAAACAGCAGCGAGTCATAGCAAGATGCTGCAGGTTCCTCGCATGAGACAAGCCCTTGATTTCATGTTGGCTCTCTCTTCGAGGGCACGAAACGTAGTTTACAACTTGCGGATTTTGGGTCTTCGGCCGTTGGGGGTTTATGTATTGGTCTTGGGGTTGAAAACTTGCAGGCAACGGAGGACCGTCTTATTTCCACCCACCCTCACCTGCATAGTACCCTGCCGGGCAGTAGCCGGTGCCAAGCTTGCTGAAACGCTGCGGATGTGGTGCGTCCTGTCGCCGCACATGATGAACAGCAGTACAACTAACACGGCACTAATAGGAAAGACAGCAGCAATAGGAAAAGGGAGATCTGCTAAAATCTGCTGAAGGCAGTAATCACGACGGACTTTGGTTTGGTTCCGGCAGGGCAGAACGCGACAACCTTCAGTAAACTATCTTCTGGCTGACAACGAGCCCAAAACATTAGCCGAGAAGGTATTGCCCCATCCTCGGTCAGGTCGGAGTCTCGACCTTCAGGGATGGCACGAAGCAACCTACTACTACTACTACTACTACTACTATTACTACTACGACTATGGCGCCGACTACAACGACGACTACTACGACAGATACTACAGTCTACTACTACTACTACCACCACTACTACTACTACTACTACTACTACTACTACTACTACTACTACTACTACTACTACTACTACTACTACTACTACTACTACTACTACTACTACTACTACTACTACTACTACTACTACTACTACTACTACTACTACTACTACTACTACTACTACTACTACTACTACTACTACTACTACTACTACTACTACTACTACTACTTACTACTACTACTACTACTACTACTACTACTACTACTACTACTACTACTGCTTTTGCAAAAAATAGTAATAATTGTTGCTGGCAGCAGGTAGTACATTTAAATAACAACGAAACATCGCTAGCTTGCATTCCAACGAGGAATAGATCAAGGAACTTCCAGGTCATGACCCCGTGCCTGCATCCCGACGCATCAGGGCCTCCATGCAGAAGCAGGAAGGTCTGTATCAGGGACTTGGATAAGTCTTTGCAGGTTCGGGCTTCCGGCTTAACGGCCCACAAAACCCAGATTCAAGCCAAAGCGTGACACTTTTGATGCAGTTTACCCGCACGACATGCGTGGCTATGAAGTCCGAACGATGCTTGTTTAGCCATCCAGTACAAAACTCTGGGAAAAGTTCAGCCACTTCCACAGTCCGACACGAAACACTCCATAAACCACGTTCTGAAAACTCGAAACAGCAACAAAACGATTAAACGATCGAGAAGAGAAACTTCACTAGGAGCTTATACTCTGGAAGCACCCGCAGAAAGCTGTGTACGTAAGCAGCAGCCGGACGACACAACGGTATTCCAAGGAGAAGAACATCTTGCAACACTGGCAGATGCAAATGGTCCTCCGACTCCAACCTGTTAAACACAGCGATCCGGGAACATACACGCTGACAGTTGATAGCTGGCTGAAGGTCAGTGTTAACATCTTGCTCGGATGCGCTAGCCGGCTCTCGAGGTATTCTCGCTTAAATGGACGATGACTAAGCAACTCTCTGACATCAGTGGCCGAGGACAACACTGCCCCAGTTGGCCTTCGCAGATCCATCGGCTTGAATCTCAACATTCCGGACGTTCCTCTCGGATTTCCTCAAAAGCAGAGCTGTGGGTTCAAGTTTACATCGGGACCTGAAGCAACAGATTGCTTCCAACAACTCACAACATCATTCGAAGGACTCATGCTGCTCACAAGCTAGTTTAACTTTGCATGGACTCGACACTCGTTCACGAAAACATGACAAGTTCGTATTGCCAAGATGCGCTTCGCGCTCCGATGCTGTGTGCTTCACGTCCACAGCTCGAGAGATGGCCAGCAAGCCAGCCAAGATGCAGTAGGCTTGCAGCATGACAAGAAGCCAAACTACCTCAAGACTACATCGACGATGCAGCTCTCTTCCAACTTCACCACACATGCAGCTCCCTTTCAAGCTCAGACAAGCCATTTGTCAGGTCTGAATGCCAGAAAACAAGCTGCCCCGAAAGGAGCAAAATCAATATGGAACACTCCAGAAGTCCACTGCCACGGCAGGCGACGTATTGCAAATGGAGTTCTCAAAAAGAACGTCTTGCCTTGGCGTGCGAGAAAAGATGAGGTCTCCACATTCAGGAGCTAGGGAGTGATCGCGAACGCAGAACTATCGACGAGGTGATACCTTCCAGCAACAGCATCATTCCCGAACAAATTGCTACTGCATCGTTCTATTTTGCTGGCAATCATCAACGGCGACAGACTCATGATGAAAATTATGGTGATGTATGGCAGTGTCGAATAGCGACGTGGATTCGGCTCGCGATCGTGGCGATAAGATAACAAGAGATGAAAGCGCCAACGGCTGTGGCAATGATTACGATGAGTTCGACCTCCGCATCATCACAATCGCCTGCACAATCGTGAACGTCATCACAGCTGGCAGTCGAGCTGCAGCTATCCTTGTGACCCTTATCACCCGAAGACCCATTCTATCCTCATGATCCTCCCGCATTATCATCATAATCGTCATTATCATCGAAATTATCATCACTGTCATCACTATCATCCGTATCATCACTATCAACACCATCAGCACGATCAGCACTACCGTCACTATCATCAGCATCATCGTCAGCACTCTTGTTTATGGTCATCGTGGCCATTATGCTCAGCATCATCAACATGACCATCATGATCGAAAATAACACCGTAATCAAAACCAGCACAAGATTGCCATTATCACCACCCCACTACCGTCATTATCATGATTAGAACCATCATCATCATCATCATTATTCTCCTTTTTTCGTCATGATCGCCATTATCCTCTGTATCAGCACTTTCACCATCGCTAGCATTACCATCATTATCCTCCTCATCATCACCATGGTCATCACTATCATCATTGATCATCCTCATAATCAACAGCGTCCCCATAATCAATTCAAGAAACATAACCACCACAATCATAAAAAGCATCGTCAGCATCACCATCATCATCCTCAAAATCATCACAAACCATCAAAGTCATCATAGCTATCATAATTATCGTATTCATGACAACCACCAACATCCGCATGATTAGTCATCATCATGATCATGGCAATAACCATATCACAATCATGATCACGAAACTATACGGAGACAGACGTTCATGACCATGATCGCAATCTTCCTCGTATTCGTACTTGTCATAAACGTGGCCATTGTCCTCACGATAAATGCAACCATAACCATGTTCACATTTTCAATCACAATCGTGTCACAATCACAACCATTAACTTTGCATAGTCATAACGATAATCATGGCTACCATCAATTCCACCCAGAACCCACCCACGATCACCGGCATCAGCAACATCACCGTGTCACCTGTTCCGCGACCAAGCTGCTTCAACGATGCAAAAAGTTGTATCGCGATCTGCCAAACTTCGGCCAGGCTCGAGCCACTGATAGCAACCGATCATGACTGACGAGGTTCGTCAGGGTTGGAAATCCACCTGAAGCGGGTATTCAACAGCTCCTGGAGCTCCATGCCGTCCTTGAACCCACAAAATCTACTGCACATGCTTTATTTTGCTTTCGAAGGCATTGCAAGGCAAGACGTTCGTAGAAGGCAACCATGAGTTCCGCGGCTTGGCCTGTAAGGAACTGGGGAGGTGTCTAGAAACGGCCAACAATAAAACTGTTGGAACAATAATTCGGCCTCATATCCAAAACCGCCTTAAAATGGCCACCAACCACCGCCCCGAAACATTTTCATGCCGACGCTTTCGCCTTCAAACAAGAAGCACATTCGAACCCCATCATAATACAAGCATGTGACGAATTAAAACAAACCCTTTTTTGGCGTCTGCCGACCTCGGTGGCCGCGCTGCACCCGGTCCGTACAAGTAGTAAAGACCACAAAAAAAGTTTAATGGAACAAAGCAAATTAAATTAAAACGCAAGATTCTGCTTAGCAAAGACCAAGAAAGCTGCAGCATTGCACCAAAGTCACCCTGGTACAGTGCACTCCCGGTGTTTGGTTTCTGTCTGCAGCTCTGCTTGCAATTGTCCTCCAAATATCGCACAGTCTTTCTGCCTCCTGCATGAATGGTGCGTTTCCAGCTCTCCGTGTAGAAGTGTGAACGCACGGAATCAAAGCTGTGGACGTTCTCCACAGATTTAGAAAAAACATCCTGCGCATCGCAAGGTTTTTCTGAAGCTTACACACCTGTTTCACTGCTGTTTTGTGTGTTTATTTGTTTAATTTCTCAAGGGACCGAGAGCTTTCTTTGGCTTGGGCGGCCGTCGACTGCGGCTGCAGCACTCGGTCCCGAAATATTGTTTTGGCGTGGGCGGGCCTCAATGACTGCGGCAGCAGCACTCGGTCCCTACAAGAAGCTTAACTGAACTAGCAAGAACAGAAAAACAAAGCGGTGAAACAAGCTGCGACGTGCAGGTTTTGCCAGCAGAGATCGTTCAGCCTTCGGCCAGTGGCGTCATATGTTATGACTCATGCCCGCTCACTGGCCCTGCCCTCCGTAAAGCTTGATGAGCGCAATGGCGACATTGCATATGGCCCTGATCACCGCAAAACATGGTGAGCGCAATGGCCGCATGTCAACATAGCCCTGCCCTCCTAAAGTCAGAAGAGTTCAGGACATTACTACACCACGCAACACCAAAAGGCTACTGCGAGGAATGCTGTGCGAAAGCAAAAGCTGGAACATGAAATAAGGCATGAGCACACCTGTTCTTTTTCGGCTTGCCGGTAAAGCGACTGCTCAGACGTCAGTTGTCCCGATCGGATCTTTGATCCGTCCGAGACCGCAAAGCAAAAGCTGAAGCAGCGGAGCAGTCGCAAAAGCCCGTATCGTCATGTAAGCATATGAACATAGAAGCAGCAAAGCTGAAGTGTAAGAAGAGCAAAACAGCGGAAAGCGATATAAGACTGAGTAGCGGGCTGTGACTGAAAAGCTCCCTGCGCTGAAAGCGTGCCCAAAGGTGTGGGCGGGTGGGAAAGTTTTTGAAAGCAAGCTGCTGTTGCGTGGTGTATGCTTGAACCCAAGCGGGGCCGCGGGGATGAGTAAGTCCGAAACAACCCTGAGTAAACACAGGAACCGTTCAGGACATTACTACACCACGCAACACCAAAAGGCTACTGCGAGGAATGCTGTGCGAAAGCAAAAGCTGGAACATGAAAGAAGGCATGAGCACACCTGTTCTTTTTCGGCTTGCCGGTAAAGCGACTGCTCAGACGTCAGTTGTCCCGATCGGATCTTTGATCCGTCCGAGACCGCAAAGCAAAAGCTGAAGCAGCGGAGCAGTCGCAAAAGCCCGGGTCTGAAACTGGCAAGCCGAAACCTCGCAAACGTAGTGAAAAGGCCAAGCAGAGAAGTGGGGTGAGGAAGCTATTTGCGCTTCCTTGAACCGCGGTTTGTCGGGCCCAAGCTGTCAGCTGACGGAAGCTGCCATTTTAAAAATGTGTCAGCGGGAAAAAGCGTCACTTGAAAGCGGATCTGCCAGAACTCAGAAAGCGAGAGCTCGATGCGGTTTGAAGCCAGAAACTTGGCAGGGAGGTCTGCTGAGCCATCCCACCGAGAAAGCAGGTCTGCATCATCGTTCTTCTCGCCGGCTATATGGCTGCAGTCCAAAGTGACACCGGTAATCGAGCTCCACATCGAAAGCTTGCGAACAAAAAGATTAAGTGGTACTTTAGACGTGTAAAGCTTATTACACACTGACTCTGCACCACTGTTATCGCTCAAAGCTGGTAATGTCAAAGCCAAGCGACCGGAAACATGGGCTTTCCAAAAAGCCAAAAGCACAAAGCACTGTGCAAGTGTCTCGTAGCTGGAGATGTCCAAGTTGGCATCTGCTTGCATGGGCAGACCTAAGTCCAGGAAGTCTTTGACCGTGTAGCGGTGAGCGAACCAAAGCAGGCGTCCACTGGGGAGGAGGAGCCATCCTCCCACGCCGCAATCATTGCCCTTGCCGAAAGCGTCTGCGGCCGACTCCACCGAACTGGTAGGTGGTGGTCGGAGTGGCCTGGGCCGCCAGTCCCTGGAGCTCAAGTGGGCAAAGAAGGCAAGGGTTTCTCTGCTGGACTCAGACAAGCGCCGCTTGGAGGAAGTGGGGTCCGTGACTCGGAGCCACATGCGCTTTGTGCTTACGGGTACTAAAGCTAGGTCTTCCTTGCTTTTAAGGAGCTTATGCCGAGCGGAAAGCAGAGTTGAGCCAGGTGAAATGCCCGTGCCCGGGGGGCTACCTGTGAAGCGGAGCTTGTCGTCCAGGTAAGAGTGGATGCCTGGCCAAACAACTGGGCTGATGCTGACATTGGTGCCAAGTGGTCTATGCATGTCATCATACAGAGTGCATAGCCAGGGTCGTAAAGCAGGAAGACCATGCAGAATCCACTGAAGCAGACCTAGGAGTTTGTCAAGCTGTTTGCGACTGACAAGTCGATGCCGAAGACACTCCTCCACCTGGCCAAGCAGCTTCAAGCGTTTGAGCTCCGGTAAAGTGTAACAGCCAGCCTTGAAGTCGATCTGCCAACCTATCCAGGTTATAGACGGGCCCATCTGTAATTTCCGCCAACTAAGCGGTATATTGAAGCAGGCGCAGAATGCCAAAACCAAGGAAGCGCTAAGCGGAAGTGCACGAGAGTTTTGCCAAAGAAGCAAATCATCTACGTACAGCATGAGGACGTGTGACAGCCAGATAAGTAGGTGAAGGCAGCGCACAAAAAAGCCCCCTAAGCGGGCAAACCAGTGGCTCGAAAAAGTGGCCCCGAAGGGACAGACGTGGTAGAAAAAGAGGCGTTCTTGTTGTCTCAGTCCAAGCAGGCCTCTGTCTTGTTCGCGCACAAGTGATGTTTTGTGCACTCCCTTCACATCTAAGCTGAAACCAGAAACCGGCTCCTCGTCCTCCCTCGGAGGGTAAGCGGCCTGTATGTCCTGAAGACTGGGCAGAGAAAACTGTTCAGGCACATGGCAGTTCTGGTTCGTGTTGCAGATGCTGTTGTCTATAACCAAGCGGGCAGAGCGACCGGGGGCCTTGACAATGTTCACACGGCCCACCGCAACACGTTCTTTGCCCCACCTTTCGTAAGCGGCCTCTAAGCTGGGAACTTCCTCTATGTAGCCGGCGGAAACTTCCTCCTCGATCAACTCCTGAAGCAATGCTGGATCTGCCTCAGCCCGCTGCCAGTTGCCCTCACAGACAAGCAGGTCGGTGGGTTCGTCTGAGTTGTCGGGGTCGCGAGGTCGGAGTGTGTGGCTGCGAGGGATATCGCCGTCGAACCCCGTAGGGACGCCCTTCTGTAAAGCGGGGAAAAGGGAAGTGTCCTTGTCACCCAGCATGGTGCTCAAGCGCTCCAGTGCAGACAAGCAGTAAGGCTGGCCTTCTTTCACTGAGAAGTTCCAGTCCTGGCACGGGGAGTGTGCATCCGAAAAGCGCTTGAAAGACGAGCGAAGCCACTCCGTTTCTTCCTCTGAGAAAAGAGGTTTATTGCTGGCTTCGGCGATATGTTGCTGGAGCCGGAGAGGAATTCTGTTCCCAAGCAGCCAAGATTACCATTCCTTCCGCAGGTCGTGTAAGTTGTCGGATTGGTACCTTGGGCCAAGGGACCAGTCGGGCAAAGAGTAGATGCCCCCACCGTCCTGTGCGGCTGTAGGCGTTGATGATCGCGGCTTTTTGGGAATTGAGGCCAGTGCAAACTTCAGGGAGCAGGGCGCAACCGAATAAGCGGGTCTTGCTGAGGAAAATAAGTGCACTGCCTTCGCTGAGAAGTTCTCGGCAAGCTGGGACGGGTATTCCGCCGTCCTTTGGGACAAGAAGTTACCGTGTTCGTCCCTGGCGCCTGCGACGGACTGGTGGCCTCCTTCATGCGAACATGTGCCTGCCAGAAAGCGGAATTCACTGTAACTGCAAGCGAAAAGCCACGATTTTGCTATGTCCTGGCCCACTGAACATGCCGGGATGTTGACCAGTGAAGCCTGTATTTCGGAAAGCATGTCCTGAACGAAAGGCTCCAGCCAGGACATAGCGTTGGTGGGCTGTTCCAGTGACACATGTGCGCCTGAACAGAAAGCTGCTCTCAGAAGGCATACACAACGATATAAAAGCTTCTGGCTGCTATGTACTCTAGCTTGCTGCGAAGCGGTGTTTCCTGGTAGGCCGTTCAGATGATCCGGAGATCGAATAGCCGGAGGTCCACCTGGACGAAGCTTCAAGCGGGAGTACTCCTTGCAGGGCGGCGATCCGTGAGCCAAGCGGACAATCCCAGCAAAACACAGTCGAAGCAGGTGGTCGTAGGTGTCGTCGTTGAGCAGGTCCAGTTGCTCCTCGCCAAGCAAATCGATGGGCAGACAAGTGATTCCACACGAAGACATCGCCGTGGTAAGTGGGTGAGCGGCCCCACAGCATATGTCCAGGAAAAGCTCCACACATGTCGTGTCCTTGAGCGGGGGCGGTATTGACTGAGGGTTACCTGGGGTTGCCGGCGGGAGCGGGAAGCCCAGGGACCTCAAGTGTGCCTTGCATCAAAGCGGTCCAAGCTCTTGCAAGTATAGGCAGTCAATACCCACCGGTCTCCTTGTATCGGCAGCGTACAGTGAAGCGAGTCACAGCTGAAGGAGAGCGGTGCGTGCCAAGTGTCCCGCACCTCACCTGTACCAGCTCCAACAGCATTGTGCGCCTCGGATGAAGCATCCAAGGGGCCGGTACTTGAGGGGCCGCCTGGTTCAAAGCGGGGCAGAGCCAGACCTCGCCGCCGCTGAAGTTGCCAAGTGAAACTGTGTGATTCAGTGTCCCTGCAGCGTTGCCAGAATCTGTGTGTAAGCGTGTGCGAACGTTGTGGCTGACGCAGAGGGAGCTCCAAGAGGCTTCGGGAAACTGAAGCTGCAAAAAAGTCTGAAAATTGCTCTGTGCGCTGAAAGATGCCCGACCTTGCGCCATTGTCAAAAGCGAAAGCCCCCAAATTGAAATATGCTTCAGAGGCTGCAATGGCGTTGTCGGGGCAGTGAGAAGAAGAAGCGAAGGGAATGGAAAAGTACTGCGCTAGAAGCTCCAAGCAAGTAGCGAAGTCGAGAGAGCCTTCACTGAGTGCAGATGCTGCATCGGAGACCGGGGCACGTGCCTTGGGCAGTGCCGAAGTGGCCCCTGCGGAGCCTGACGGTTGTGCCGGCACACTAAGCGGGACCGTTGTGACCTCCTCAGCGATGTCCCGCTGCTCGCTGAAGTGGGTTTCCTAATGCGGGGTGGCAACATGCTGCGAAGCCGGGTGATTGCCCCCGCAAGCTGTGCCGTCACTCTTGGGCACTGCGCATCTGTGCAAGTAGCGGCATGTCGCCGGGTCCTTGCACTGCCCACTCTGGTACCTCATGCAGAGTGTCTGACGCTTGCCATCCATGAAGAGGGTGGAGAGCCATTTGTGGGGGGGGGGTGGCTTGCTTGTTGTCTTTTCCTTTGCCGCCTTTGCCCCCTCTCTCAAAGCGGTCACCCTTCTCGCCTTTGCCCTCACGGCCTTTGCCGCCGCGGCCACCGCCCTTGCCACCTCGACCGTTGCCTGTGAAGCGGGCCTTCCAACTGTTGTCCAGGTCGAACTTGGGCTTGGGGATAAAGGGCCTCGGTGCAAGCAGGCTGTGCATATCGGAGCGCACCTCAGCCACTTCGTGAAGCGCATCGTCCAACTTCCAGTGGTGCACGTTGACTAAGTCGGCGATGATTTCCCAACAGCGGCGGTCAGCGGCCTGAGCTTCCATGGTAGTGGGACCTCGTAGGCTGGCGGCGGCCTCGTACTTGGTGAAGCAGATCCTCATGAAGCGTTTATTATAAAGCTTCAGAGAGCCCAGGTGTGCACCTTGGCAAAGCGCAATGGCGTTGGCCGCTAGTGACAGAAGCTGAGTGACAAGGCCAAATGAAGCGGGGCCTTCATGTATGTCACGTGTAGGCGCCTCGTCCAGAAAAAGCTCTGTGAGGTCAAAGCGGGCCTGTTTCCTAGGCCGAACGAGGAGACTGTCTTCTTGAGCACGGGCGCTTAAGCGATACTTCCAAGGAATCCATCGCACCTCCTTGTCAGAAAGCATCTTATTGGTGAGGGCCAATAAGCGGGCGCTTGGAAAGCTCTCGGCATCAAGAAGTTCAGTGGGGTAGTCCTCCTCGAACCTTTTCCTAAGCGCCGCCGTTCGCTCCCCACTCAGCTTCGCAGGCCAAGCCTCCTGCCAGGAGCTGGAAAGCGGTGGTGTGGCCGGGGGAGCCGGGGTAGCGGCCGGAGGCCCTTCACCAAGCGGTGTGATGGGAGTGGGCGCGGCTTCAAGGGATGCCATTCCCTCTGACGTTCGGCACTTGCAAAAGAGAAGGCGAAGAGAAGCTTTGGTGATAAAGCGCTCAGCAGCGTCCGTGACTGAGGCTTCTGCCAGAAAGTGGTTCACTAACTCTTCAAGCTCTGCCGAAGTGGTACAGGACCGAGCAAACAAAGCAACGTCGAATGCTGAGAGCAAAGAGGATACAGCTGCTGCACGTTGCAGTCGGCCACAAGTTGTGTGAAGTCTGACATCTTCACTTGACCTGAAGCGGGTGCACATGATGCCGAAAAGAAACGACGCACTGAAGCTGAGGGTGGAGCGTTGCCACTGGTGGTCCTGCGGCAGGCAGAGAGTTTTCTAGGGTTGACTTATTGGCATCTGTGGCCTGTAGCGTAGGAGCGAGGGTTACCCGGAGCGGGGGCCGGAAATCTTTCTTGATCCAAGCGGGAAGCAAGAATGAGAGGCGCACCAAAGGTTCAAAGCGTGAACTGTTCTCAAGAGGGCGGCACGCGGGCTTGCCTTCTTTTTCAAGCGGGAAGCGGAGCTCGAGTATGTCTGGCTTCGGTGAAGCCGGGCGCTTCTTGCCCACAAGCCCAAGCGGGGCCGCCCTTGATCAATATGGGCAGGCCCAAAAGTGGGCGATTCAATGCCACAGCTGGCAAAAGCGTGGAGCGGAGGCCAAAGCATCATTGATGCTGCCAGTTGCGGCCACTCCAGTTCCAGGATCCCCAAGCGGGTTGATCCTCCCATCCGGACTGGTTCTGCCCCCACTCCTCATAGCCTTGGCTCCATTGTGAAGCGGCTTCCTGACGCTCTCTACCACGAGCCCTCTTACAGTCTCTACATAAGTGGGTGGTGTGGTAGCTATTGGAGCGGTCGCTAAAGGTCGCCTGACAGTGTCCAAGCGAGCATTGAGAGCACTGTTTACGGCAGGCCCAAAGCTGGACTAATTGAAGCGTGGGCTGCCCCTCACTTTCGTAGATGGTGTGCCCCAAGCGGCTCGCCGGGGCATCGCTCGCCAGAAGTGGGGCCCTTTCACGCTGCGGAGTGTCAGAGGCTGTGGCCAAAGCGGGCGCCTGCTGTCCTGTGTTGCCCGTGCTGCCACCGGTGGTGCCTTCCTCGACGAGCGGAGGTAGCGGTGCTTTTTCCTTGGCAGCGGGCGCGGCACTAGGCGCAGACGCGGGGGGAGCACCCGTAGCCGAAGCGGGCTTCGGTGGTCCAGCGGGGCTTTTGGCCTTAAGCGGGTGCCCCGTAGGTGTCGGAGTGGCCTTGGGTGACGAGGGTGGCCGCGGAGGCGGCTCCTTCACCTTGGGCTCCCGTTGCCACCGTTTTGCACTGGCCACTCCATCGCCTCCAGTGATCGTAGCCCCGTCGCCTCCCGAGTCCGCCGAAGCGGGACCCGTAGGGCTTGGGTTTCCACCTGAGGTATCTTCGGGTTGCTTTGTGGCAGCCGAAGTGGGTGGAGAGGTGGCCGGCGGGGATGTCGAAGCGGTTGGCATTGTTGGAGGCGGGCCGTAGTCCTCAGCGGCTATAACGTCCCCAATGGGGTCCTCGACGCGTGCCGTCTCAAGCTGAGCGGCGGGTGCATCCGCTGCGGACGCCCCTGACGGCTCCTGTGGAAGCAGGCGGTCCTCCGCCAACTGCTTCAGGAAGCGGGATTTCTCCTCTTCATTCATGGACTTGAGGAGGCTGAAAGCGTATTCCGGGGAAAGCTTAGCCATGACCCAAGGAGGCAAGAAAGTGGGCTTGAAGCGCATCTCGAGCTAAAAGGCAAAAGTATAAAGCTCGAAAATTGGTTCAGCGTGATACATGTACCCTTGTGCAAGTCCTGATGCAAACCAGCGTTCGATGCAAGGCCCTCACATGTTTTCACGGCAAGCGGAACTCAAGCTGCCTCCACGGACGCGATGATGCACGCCCGTCGCTTACATAAGCGGGAGTCGGGCGGAAAATGAACAAAAGGGGAAAATTCTGAGATGCAGCCACAAGCGGGGCGGCGTCGAACCTCACAAGAAGCGTCCCTGCACGCCAAGCAAGTCATACGGGAACCAGGGTGGGAAATACATGAGTGTGCCACCCCCGATGCCCCTAACAGGTACCGTACCTCCGTACAAGGGGGCTTCGATACCGGAGAAGATGAAACGGGAGGCGGCTGTACCTCCTGTGAAAAGCTCACTGACCCGCTGGCCTCATCTTGCCATGTGGGGATGACCTCCGAAGCGGGCACAATCGTGCTGGGAGACTTTGCCGGGCCTGTTTCTTCTGCGTCAGAGTCCTCATAGTTTTCGACCTGAGGACGAGCATGCACACAAGAGGGAAGCTTGGCGCCCGTACCAGTGATCTGCAAGCTGGACTCCCTGGCTTCTCGCAGATCGTTGTCCTGGTGTTCAAGCGCCAAAAAGGACTGACAGTCGTTGCCCAGCACAAAGCAAGAGAGGGCCGGGCAATATTCCTCCCACTGGAAACCTGCGGAGTCAACCAGTGGCTCGGCCAGCGGCGATTGTCCGCCCCTGTGCTGGGGTCTTGCGGGGCGGAAACCTGCATGTATGGAGCGCCAAAGCAGCCACTGTGCACGTAAAGCTGGCCAGACGTCATCACGAGAGTACAGCTGGGCCGACCCGGGAGCCTTGTGGTGCCCCTGCCTGTGCGGCTCGCGACGTCCCTCCTCCGTCGAATCGGCTAGGGCGGCGCCCTTACTAAAGAGGTGAAAATAGAGAAAATCAACCACCCTAGGCAGGGAGTGCCGCAACAGGACTTTGGTAACTGGCTCAGGGAGCCCGCAGGTCGAGCCAGCCTCCGCAGCAATGTTGTGTAATTCGATGGTGCTCAAAAGCCATGATTTCAGGCTGCAGACTGCCGCCACCGAGGGCGGCTGGTGTGCTACTAAGTCGACTAGAAGACCACTCGGCAGGACTTCCTGAAGGCTCTCGAAGGTGAGCTCCGTGAGCTCCGCCTGCGGGAAGATGGTCAGCATGACCTGCATGTGCGGCGAGTTACTGAAGACCGGGAAACGGAACAAGTGCAGCTGCTGAAAGGCCAAGTACAGTTCATGGCTGTCATTGATCAGTGGCAGGAAGGCCGTTTACCTCCGAAGGCAGGTATTCCAGTCGCTCGAGTAGGTGGCCATACCCATGGCAGCTGTACCGTGGAGGGTCGCAGACGAGCCGCCTAGCAGCCAAACAAACCCTCCCCCGGCCGCACGCAAGTCCGCATTCAGCTGATCTCTGAGTTGCGCAGACGGACAGAAAGGGCACAGCCTGTCCTCGCTTGCGTGTACGAGCCATAAGGTGAGAGGCAGCTGCAAGAGCTGCGCAAATATAAAGTCGGGCATGCCCAGGGCACCTAGCCTTACCACGTGGCGGAGCGAACCACCCTCCTGGGCCACAGCAGAATTGCCGGGCCCTGGCTGTGGTGGGATGCGTCCCCACGCCCGATGCGCCAAGAGTGCAAGCACCGCCCCCGTATAGCTTCCAGCCGAAAACCCTGTATAATGAGTGGGCTAGGCCGGAGAGCCGCAAGAAAGATGAGCATGGCGCTGAGGCATCCACTGTGTGGGGACTGCAAGTGCGAGCTGCGTGGCAGACGCATCAACGGCCGATGCATCATAGAGACTTCTGGTGGGTTAAGGGGTGAGTCCAACATGGCATGAGCCACCCGGATCACGCACGCTGGGGAAAGCAGGAGGCTGGTGTGCTGGCCCGCATACGATAGCCTGTCGGGCTCCTCGACAAACATCTGCCCCTTATCTTCCTCTAGAGTGGTTTCCGTTTGGCGTCCGTAGCACTGCTGCGAGCACACTACCTGCCAATCCTCCGTTCGCGCTGGGTCACCGCTCCCGTGACCCGTACGGTGGAATTCTCGACAGGCAGGGACTGGTCACGCTCATCGCTGGTGCTTTCCCAGTGTGCTCGCTCAGAGCGGCCCATCTGGCCGAAGTAAGCGCCGAGTAAGGTGGCATCGCTGGCCGTCTGTCCATGACCCCCGCCAGGCAGACGGGCACGGAGACGCTCTAATTCTGCACAAATCCAACCTCGGACGGTGCCGGCCGCCCCTAAGGAACGCCTCGCGGGCAGCAGGACGTTCCAGAATTTCTCTCTCACCGTCACGGCCTTGACTTGCACAAGCTTTGGGGCGTATGTTCTGAAGATAATGGCGTCTTCTCCGTGGCGCGCAACTGGTTCTCCCATATGGAGCGGCAGTTCCCACTAGAGGGCTCGGTGGTAGTTTTCGAGGTTGGTGGCCCACCAGTCTGCAGACTGGTTGGGATCTTCACGGAGCTCTACATCTCGCACCTTAAAAAGGACGATCGCTATGTCAAGCATCTTCGGAAGCTCAGCCCAGGATATGTTGAGTTGCTCGTCCGCGAGTGGCCTGCATTTTTAGGGCCGCCGCCAACAGGGCAGCATGCTCCGGCTGTCACCCTGCCGTATCGCAGACTGGTTTGCCTGAAGTCGGGCGGAGGCCTCGACCTGTTTAAGCGTGTCCTAGCATTGCCGAATGGTCGTGTTCCCCTAACCTTGGGTGTGCCGGCCCCCAATGCCTCCAGGCCAATCACACACTCCGGCGCTGCATTCCCAGTGGAGCTGGACATGGTCCTCCTCTTTCTTCAGGCATGCAGCATCTCGGCGTGCTGCAGGAAGCGGGAGGCAAGTGGGATCGACAGCTGGCTCATCCAAGACAGAAAAGTTGTCTTGAGACTGTGAAGAGTGTACTGGGCCGCCTGGGCCGGCGCAATCCCCGAAAGTGTAAGCAGGTAGCGAAGCTTCTGGAGGGCTTGAGAATAAGATGCTGGTGCAAAACCAGTCTCGCTCCAAAGGAAAAATGGACAGTCGGGTTCCGGCTGGGGCCCAAAGCGGGAGCGTATCTCACACCAGACTGTGTCCAAGCTCCCAGCCAGTGGGGAAGCCAGGTCATAGCCCAGTGCTCGGATGAGGAAAAGAGGCCGAAGCTGAGGAGTCCCCATGGGCAGCCCCCCTTGGTGGTCTTTGTCCTGTAACAAATGCCTCGCAGTGTAAAGTTGCTAATGCAAAGCGTGCTCCAACGAACATGTTGTGCATCTGCAAAGCGGAGGCTGGCACCGATAGCCACCAAGAAGGAGCCTGCCCAGAGCCTGTCCATCAAGCTGGCCTTGCCCGACAAAAGCGTGCGCTCAAGGAAAGCAACAAACGCCAAGGGGAGAGGTATGCTCTCACGTTTCTCCTGCCCGGCCGGGTTGGAGAGCAGACTGAAAGCGGTGCCATACAAATCCGGCAGGCAGACTATGGAAAGAAGTTTCTTGT